TACACACTTTTCAACCCTCCCCGCTTTGGTCTCCAGCAAATCTTACTGCAGGCATAAATCTGTTGTTGTTAAAATATGTTGTTTGTTTTTGTACTCTGCCTTCTTAGATGGCCATATCCTCCCTCAAACATTCTTCAACCTGACACTCTAGTTCACTCCAGAATTAAAATTTCCTGATAATTTACGCACATGACATGGGGGTGAGTAAATTATCTGAATTTTGATTTTGGAGTGAACTTATCCTTAAAGGAGAACTCCGGCGAACAATGAACCTTTGGTCTAATAAAACATTGTTCTCTGAGATTTGTTTTCATGATAATCAAATGTAAAGAGTTTTATCTCTAAAAACTGTTTGGCGTATAATGCTAGAAGAAATCGCTAGTTTATACCACTAACAAGGCTCAAAATAGCCCCACACTAACGCAGTAACATAATGAGGGTCCATAGATGCAAAACGAAGCATTGAGAACTTTGCAAGTGTACAGACCGTTTGATAAGAAGATACTTTATGAAGACAGTTCACTTCGCGTATACAGACAGGAGCCATCTTAAAAAATAGTCTCGATAAGTCAAACCACGAACACTTACAAAGTTCTCAATGCTTCGTTTTGCATGTATGGACCCTCATTATGTTACTGCGTTAGTGTGGGACTATTTTGAGCCTTGTTAGTGGTATAAACTAGCGATTTCTTTTTACTTAGTCAATGCCCCCATTACTAGCATTATACGCTAAACAGTTTTTAGAGATAAAACTCTTTACATTCAATTATCATGAAAACAAATCTCAGAGAACGATTGACTAGGTACCGATGTTTTATTACACCAAAGGTTCATTGTTCGCCGGAGTTCTCCTTTAAGTCTTTAAAGCAACACCAAGTAACTTTTCCTCTGCGGTTGCCCTACAGGTTGGAAGGGGAATTGTCCATAACCGCTGTCGTAAATAATTTAGCCTCGCACGCACGCTCGTTATTTATCCAGCACCGGCTTTGGAATGAACGATGTCCACAGACAAGGTAGAGTATGTTGCATGATTTCATGAAAGTATGATCTATTGCAACATCAGAAACGAAGAAAAACAAAATAACGACTATTGTAACGCTTGAGGTAAAGCAAGTCAAATTTGTAGTTTTTTTTATGTCTCATTAGAACTACAGAAACGCGACCCAATCTGGCAATCTTACATAGCGTTGTTATAGCAGATATAGGACCGCAAAGCGAATCCAGAAGTGCCTTTCGTTCTGTTACGACTTAATGAACCACTGAAACAATTTTGGAAACATTATTTTGAGGTAAAAAATCTTTGTGTTGTTTTACAGTTGCAATCGAAATTATTCAGCCCCCATTGCAAATCAGGTTTGTTGGCAAAATTTAGACTTTCAGGTGTTTGCAATAAACAAATCAAACAAAAGCAATCAACACAACAAATTTTTCAAGTGGTTTCTGCAAATTCAACTGAAAATGCAACTTTTAATGACTTCCGCAGTCTAAAAAGCCCTATTTCCGTCATGATTGGTTAACCTCTGCATACTGCCGTTTATTAGGGCGGGTCAAGTTGCTGAATACTGAATGTGTTCATTTGTACTATATAGGCGGTCATATGTTAAAGGGATAGTTCACACACATGCATCACACACACGACCAGCGTCGGTCAATATAGTAAGCCTACGTGTGACGTACAACACAGAAGCGTTGCGCTGTTACACCACGTGAACTAACTCGAGGTCCACAGAGAAGGAAATGAATAGTTGAATTAAGTCGTTATTTTTATTTTTATTTTTTTTGCGCACAAAAAGTATTCTCGTCTCTTCATAAACTTAAGGTTGAGCCACTGTAGTCACTCAGACTATTTTAACGATGTCTTTACTAACTTTTCTGGGCCGGCAAGTTTCAATCCCTTAAAAGCCAATGGAGGAGTGATCCAGCGCCCAGATTTAATCAAAAATATCTTAATTTGTGTTCCGAAGAACGAAAGTGTCATTACTGACAGAATTTTCATTTTTAAGTGAATTAACCCTTTAATATCCCTGTTGTTCTGACATCATAACATTTTGGAATGGCCCTTTTTCAGCTTAGTATTCATCTGAAAGTTCTTTAAAGGCAGTTTTGTTTCTAATAATGCACTGAACTAAGCAAGTAAAATCCTTTTTTAAAATCCCTAATATCTGGTCCCTTTAAAGCTTGGCTTAAACTGCTGGCCCTTGCAGTTTCATTATGATGGGACATTTGTGGGACAAAAGGGACACCGTGGAATAAATTGGCCTGCATAAGTCGTGTTTAATGCTCATGCTGTATATCCTCAGCTCCTCTCAGCCTCCAGCTCAGGTGCTTTGACAGAGAACTCCCTAGGCTCTCATTTGGGTTGAAGTGTGCAGCTGGCATTTCAAATAATCCTGGTGCGTTGTCTTTAGATCAGGATTACACTGAGTAAGAATGACTTTAATTGGCACACCACCCTTTAATCTTCGAATAACGAACAATCAGTTGAGGTCGGAGAGTATATCATCCCTTGAGTTGTCTTTTAATGAGAATGAGTTTATTATGCACACTCAAGCCTAGTTAAGAGAAGTTCTGTCTTATACTTTGAATATGTACTACTACTAGTGATAGCAGTGGTGATTTTCTTTTGAAGAACCTGTCATTTGCAGTATGAATTGAATTCAAACCCTGTTGTATTCCACCGGCCTGTACAATTTCAGGTGAGCCTGATTAGTTTGTCTGGGGTGAATTGAAACTAAACTCTACAGGAAGCCTGTGTCAAAGTGCACACCTTCCATTCTCATCCAGAGACCCTTCACCCCCGTCGGCGAGCGTCTGTGAAGGCATCTGCTCGTGGGTATCAGTCAGGGGGCCATTTCCGACACTGGTGGGAACCTGCTTCTAAAAATAACGTGTCATGCCTGAAGGTGCCAAGATAATAGGAGGCTCAGAGCTGTGATTTGTTGTCCTGAGCAGATAGCAAGGGGAATGTCATGGCTGATTTGCTGTCAGTGGTCTTTTAGACTAGCGTTTGTTGGCTGCTCGTGTCAACTGTAAATTAAGCTTTAAGACATTTTTTTTTTCATTAAGCACGGATGCATTAAATAATCAAAAGTGGCCGCAAAAAGACAATGCAAATAAATAATTGTTTCCACAAAAATATTACTGTTTCACACATTGATAATAATGTTTCTTGAGCAGCAAATCTGCACATTAAAATGGATCATGTGACACTTAAGACTGGATTAATGCTGGAAATTCAGCTTTGCATCACAGTAATATATTACATTTTAAAATATGCCAACAATAGAAAACAGCTATTTTAAATTGTAATAATATTTCACAATATTACCGTTTACTGTATTTTTGATTTTTTTAAAAATGCAGCCTTTTTGACCAAGATAATTATTTATTTTTAATTCGACAGAATCTGTCGATTCATAAATAATACTGAGAAAATTAAAATTGGTTAAAAGAAATAAACCCAGAGACATTTTTTTCATTGTGCAGCCATGCAGGGTGTTTATTATCATTAATGACTTGAATGATATTTATGGCAAAATATGGTAATATATTAAATATATTAATTTAATAAATGTACAAGGGGAAATGGGGTTTGTTCAGTTTTATGACAGACATTCTAATTTTGCAGAAATAAAAGCTACAATGTTTATTCTGTAACTAATGAGCTTTGTTTTATTATAGATATTGTATTTCTTCAACTATGGCCACTTTCGGCCATGTAGGCCAAATTAGTTTATTTAATCTGTCCAACATTTTAGCTATTCAAAATATATATATTTTTTTGCGTAATTGACCAAAACTACCGTTTGATTGGAAACTATTTTCTATTTACAGTATATTTTTTGTTTTTGTTTTTAGAACTTGTGAAAATTCATGTTTTTTTTATTATGTATTTTAGTTGTAACCAAATTGGAGTTTTAGGCAATGAATAGTCATGTTTTATTTTATTATTTGACTTTTACATTATTTTACATTTTTATGCAGTAAAATAATGAGGAACCACAACATTGTGACTTTTCTAAACCGACTGATAAACTTCACCATAAAAAATAAGATCAATAACTCACAAAAACATCTTTTTCCCAACTCATCAAAATAGTGATTTGATTATACTTAAATAAATTAAGGCAGCAACTTAAAAATTTAAGTTGAATTGGGGATTTTTTTAGTATAGACCATTTCACAAGATGTAAACATTAAACAACACTGGTCCAGAAACACTTCCTGTTTCAGTTTGTAACTGTTTTCTTTATTTCACATGTAAAGAAAACATCTTAAAGATGTTTGTTTAATTTTTTTATTGAGTTTTACATGTTCTGTTGGTTATATTTTATCCCAGATTTAATGTAGTGTTAAAAAACTGAAACAGGAAGTGCTTCTGGACCAGTGTTGTTTACATCTTGTGAAATGGTCTATAGAAAAACCATTGAGAATAAAGATGTTCACAATATCATTTCTTTTAAATGTCATTAAGTGGAGATTTTAATCATCACCAATCATAACCAAACATAAATCACCCAAATACAAGTGTGGTTTATTTTATTAGGCAGGTCCAAATAACAGAATCAAATCTTCTACTCTATAAACTCACTGATGTCCACATACGGTATCAGCCGGCATAGTGCATCGATCCCCACATAAGTGTGCTCATAAAAAATGACATTTATAACCCGTTCACAAAACATCCCGTCCGTTTAATGGCATTTTCTTGTCACCGGGAAACTTAGACTCAGACCAGGTCATACGTCCCAGTAGACCGGGGCTGGAGAGGTGTATCTAAGCACATAGAGATAGCCGAGAGCCACTCCCCTGTGTGTGTCTGTGTGGGCTGGCGGACTAACAAGCCTCCTCTCTCTCTCTCTCTCTGTCGCTCCGCGGCTGATGCTAACGGGCGAGGGGTGGTGGTGGGGGGGTACAGACCGCGAGGAGTGCAGAGGAGATGAGAAGAGAGAGGAGGACCATGACTAGCGTAACCCACACTCTCCCTCGTTTACTTTCAGACACCGGGCAGAAAAAGAGTGCGCTGGAGAGGAAAGATGTCCGGAGGATATCCTTTCAGAGGCCCAAAGGCACCATGGAGTATGTGGTGAGTAGCAGGTGTTGTCTGTCTGATCCAGGTGGCTCTGTTTACATAATGTGTGTGTGTCCACCCGCCCGCTTGACTAAGGATGAATGTGTGTACACACAGCCGCATGTATGTAATTATGTTTGGGATGGAAATGTGAGTGTGCACATCAGGTATGATTCCCTCCCTCTGCAGTGCTGTTGGTATGTTCCGCAGGAATGACTTTAATTGCTGTTTTTCATGGTACAGTAGTTTACCTGCTGACTGTACCATGTTGTGAAAGGAAAATATGTAAAGCGTGTAATAAAATGGCTATATTAGGGGATTGTGGGCCATCTTATTTTTTGAGCTTTTAAGGTCTGTTCAGAAACATGCCTTTCTCGTGCTTTTATCATTGTAAACGATTTGAGAGAGATAGAGAGAAAGAGAAAGCAAGAGAGAGCTTTTCCATATGCTCTTGAGATGACCTCAAATCAGGTGGTGACTTTCTCCATGGTAACAGTGGCATTGCCGGGGATGCTGGGAGACGGGGTGGCAGATCACTGGTGCTTCTGTCAGCCTGCTTCTTTTAGACAAACCTGTATGTGCACGAAACACATATTTATTTAGAAAGTCTGTGTGTATGTACAGCACAGGGATTATTTTATTTTATTGTTTATATGTAGTTTATTATTATTATTGTAAATGTAGTTTATTTTAGATCAACAATAGCATTGATCTGATTAAACTAATAAATAAAATATAGCGTAATAAAATATTATTATGACCAGTGTTATTTTAGTATTATTTAATTTCCTTTTTGTATTGTTTCTGTAATAGTTTTTATTGATATTTTGCATTAGCTTTTATTTTTATATTTTCAGTTTAATTTAATTTTTATTTATTTGTAATTTTGTTAGATGTTTTTGTCATTTTTTATATATTTTGTTATTTTTAAATACTAATATTAATAGTTATATTTTTATTTATTTTTATTTTCAGTTTTACGTTTTTTATTTATTTCCAGTTAATAATTTTATTGTGTTTAAATTTCAGTTGTCAAGGCAATATTTCTGATTTTCATTAAATTTTTTAAAAGTTTTTTTTCATCTAAAATTACAATTTTATTTCAGCTTTATTTCTATTAACAGACATTTTTTAAATAGTTTTTTGTTAACCCCGATCAGGATTTTTTTTTTCAACCATTTTACTGCAAGATAAAAGGTTTTATATCTGATTTTATTTAAAGCATGTTAAATTCATGCAAGTAGTATACATTTTATGATATCAGTGTCAAAAGTAGATTTTAGAATTTTCTAGAGAAAAAGAAAATGTGAGTGGCACCCTTGCAAAACTTGCTGCTATGATGCCTAAGGAATTGTGTGTTTTACAAGGTGTCGCTATGCAGTTGCCAAGGCAATCAAGGTGGTTGCTAGGTGAATGTTTATTGGTGCAGATTAAAAGAGTCCTCCACAATTTTTTTTATGACATTCTTTCTGAATCATTTATCAGGGGAAAATCGTCTGATCACTCGAGAAAGTAATAGCTTCTGCTCAAAATGATACTCTCATTCATGTCTTTAGCACAAATGCTGCAGTGCAAATTAAATCCCAAATACTTGGGGTTGGGATATCGATATCTGCCTTTTCAGTATTCCCTGGTCACTAAAAAAGTTGGCATGAAACATGCTATTAAGGCATTAAAAAAAATTTCCAGAAGTTTTTTAGCTGGAACTGTTTCTGTCTTGTAACCTAGCCCCCACCTTTCTCTTTCTTATTGTCAGTGTTGTGAAACCGTACACTTTCCATGTGTAATTGCACACCCTAATATCCACACTAACCAATCATAGTGATTTGTGGCCCTGTGACCACAGAGATTGATGGGCTTAATCAATCAATGCTCTTCGAGCTACACAGCGACTGTACTTCATTCCTTGGGTTGTGATGAGATCCATGTACCTCATATGAGTTTTCATTCCACAGCAGATATTGGAAGTGGGGTTTACACGTGGATAGAAAATTTGATGGAAAAACTGTAAGATATCTTTTGAAATAGACAATGCATTACATCCAAACTATGTGAAACTTTACTATTTTCACCTTGTTGTTCATATATGTTTATATGTGTTTGCGCACACACACACACACATATTTATAATATGCAAATGAGTGAGACTCAGTGAAGGATGCCTCTGAAGGATAAATTGAATGCAGACAGAGAGATGGCTCTCAATTATTTATGTCCGGCTGTTGGACTGTAAGCGATACCCAATGAGAATCGATGATTTGGATCAGGTGACTGAGTGATCCGGTGATCTGAGATCCTGCCACCTGGGGATTTATCAAAACATACAAATGTCACATCTTGCAACTCCAGGGAGCCAACCAGAGGATGAATTCCTAACCGTCGCCATTGCAGTAAACACACTCATGCATCATGCGGTCTGAATGTGCTTAAATGTGTGTCTCGAGATAATGACTGAATTCACTGAATGCTTCTTTTTATATCTCGTCATTTCTATAGATACTATGTTTCTATAATGTTTCATCAACCCATTTGTCAAACATCTTTTGTGGCACAAAGATGCTTTTGTTTTTATGGGGCGAGATATTTTTCAAAGCTTTTCAGACTCGGTGGGCATCATGAAGCTGCCTCAATACGTCCCTCTGTGCGCTCTTTTGTGTGTTTAACCTGACATTTAGAGATTCAGAGATTCTTGAATGCTATTTGCGTGGCATTGATGGACAGATATTACATGTTGAGAGAAGTTTAGCGCTCTGGCTTCAGCCACAATCAAACCATCAAAAAGGTATTGATTTCACACCTGGTGAGTTAGAGCTTATACACTCTCAGAAAAAAAAGGTCCAAAAGCTGTCACTGGGGCTGTTCCTTCTCAAAAGGTACGCTTTTGTACCTAAAGGGTGCATATTAGTACCTTAATGGTACATATTAGCACCTAAAATGTACATATTAGCAAATAAATGTCCATATTAGCACCTAAATCTCCATATTAGCACCTAAAATGTACATATTAGCACCTAAAATGAACATATTTGAATCTAAATGTACATATTAGCACCTAAAATGTACATATTTGAACCTAAATGTACATATTAGAACCTAAAATGTACATATTAGAACCTAAATGTATATATTATCACCTAAAATGTACATATTGGCACCTAAATGTATATTAGCACCTAAAATGGACAAAAGTTTACCTTTTGAAAAGGTACAGTCCCAGTCACAGCTTTTGTACCTTTTTTTTTTCTGAGAGTGTATAAAGCTGTTTAGTTATGCATCTCACTATGTATTTTGGACATACCCATTAGGTTTAAAGGGACAAAATCACATTTAAACGGTCACATTTTAGCTGTAGGTTTATTCGTTTGGACTTGTACAGGTTTTTTATTTTACATATGCTGCACACTGGATGAATGTAGCAATTACGAAAATAAAATAATGCTGTTTTCTATGGATTTTGGATGGATAGGAGACAAAGGGAACAGTAGCTTTAGATGATGCATTCTGGTACAGATGGGCGTCTAATAAAATGCATGGATGGTTTTCACTGGGGCCTTGATTTGCTGTTCCAACAGATTCATTTGTTTAGTCAGCAGCCGTGATATTTGAAAGCTGATGTCTTCATTTTGGAACTTTTTTTTAGCTAATAAAATATCTAACTTTCGTTTTTGTGTGCCTAGGTGGAGTCTCGGGACACACTCAACAGCATTGCGTTGAAGTTTGACACGACCCCAAATGAGCTCGTCCAGCTCAACAAACTCTTCTCTCGCGCTGTTGTTCCTGGCAAGGTACTGTATGGTGTAGTAATTTTCAGAGCAGATGGTCTCTATGTCCAGCTGAACTCTCTTCCAGTCAATTGCTTTTCCCAGTATCTAGTGTAGTAAGAGGAGGTCAAAAAAAATGTGTCACCTCGAAATTCAAATGTCTTAAAGGGATAGTTCACCCAAAAATGTAAGTTCTCTCATCATTTACTCACCCTCAAGTTGTTCCAAAGAATGTCGGTAACCAAACAGTCAATGGACCCCATTGACTTCCATAGTAGAAAAACAATACTATGGAAGTCAATGGGGCCCATCAAGTGTTTGGTTACCAACATTCTTCAATTTTTTTGTTGTATGTGTTCAGCAGAAGAAAGAATTTCATACAAGTTTGAAACAACTTAAGGGTGAGTAAATGATGACATAATTTTATTTTTGGCTGAACTATTCCTTTAGTTAGCAAATTTATCTTGGTGCCTCCACAGTTTCACATTAATGAGCAGAGATTTCGTGATTCTCAGGGTAAGAAATGTCTGGAACCATTTAAAACGGGGGAAATGTCCCAAAAAAAAAAAAAAAAAAAAAAGAACTGCGGCTTTTGTTGAAGGATATACAGTACGTTCTATTTGTTCAGTAAACCGCTTCTTTGCTGAGTTTTGAATGGTAATTCATGCTCATTTGGTTTTATTGGAGAACAAGCTAGCTGTCGCTTGTTTAATTCATTTTACTTGGCTAAATGTCATTGCTGTTTGCATGTGAGATGATATAAATCTAAATTCTGAGTGTGTCTTGCTCTTCAGGTGCTGTATGTCCCTGACCCGGAATACATCTCCAGTGCAGAAAGCTCTCCCTCCCTCAGTCCCATCAGCCCCCTCTCCCTCACCTCTTCAGAGGCGGATCTCGAGAAGGCCACCACAGTGAGTGCCACCTCAATCTTCATCTACAGCTTTCAAGGGGATTGCATAGCCAGAAGTCTCACAGTGAGACTTTATCATTGTTTTAATATATGATAAAATGATTTTGCTTGCCAAGGTCTGATCAGTTTCGCTCAACTATTCAAGGAAGAAGAAGCGCTTTTTATATTGTTCTCTGGCTCCGCATATGCTTTTTGACCCTTGAGCATGTATTGTTTTATGTACCTTTCTATTGTGAAGTTCAAAGATTTTTTAGCTCATTGTGGTGTATATGCATATTTTTCGATGATTTGGAACGGGGATGGGGAAATTCAATAATCCATGTAATAAGTTGAGTTTTATTAAGGGACATTCAGTATAATATGAAGGCTTACTCAGCTAAAAAAGCAGAAAGTTATTAAGTGAAACTGCTTGGATGATTTCACACTAATGCTATATGTCTACATTTATGCAATAGACCATGGAAGTGCCATGGACTATCAATTTGCATAGCTTGCATTTTTACATCATTTCAATTATTTTCCATTTATTTCAACCAGCTTTTTAATTTGTAGTAGCTCAGCGTGTCAAATGAAAAGAGATCCAAATCAGTGACCAAACTCCTTTACATGCCTCAGACTAGGGCTGTGAAACTATTAATCACGATTAATCACATCCAAAATAAAAGTTTGTGTTTACACAATATATGTGGGTGCACTGTGTATAATTATTTTATATATATAAACACACACACATGCTTGTATATATTTCAGAAATATTTTAATGTAAATACTGTATACATGAAAATTTATATTATATAGAAATATAAATATTTTATATATAAATATGTTTTTTCTTAAATATACATGCATGTGTATATATATATACACACAAAATAATTATACACAGTGCACCCACATATATTATGTAAACACAAATTTTTATTTTGGATGCGATTAATCGCGATTAATCGTTTAAAAGCCCCACTTCAGACATTTTAAAGCCCCTGCTTTCATATATTTATTTCTGTTCATTTTAGTTGTTAGACTTGTTTTTAACTTCTTTTTTGCCGCCGCTTTAAAAATTCTAGACTTGACCTACTTTATAATGCACGTCTTATGCGTAATACTTTATGCTTGTGTGTTTGAAACTCCATTCCCATTAATTATAAATCTATGAAAAAAATAAAAATAAAATAACCAGCAAGTTTTTAAAAGATATTCCATACAATATGTCATGCATATTACAATACAAACATCGTGATGTTGAGTTTGGGTGGACTATTTCTTTAATCTCAGGCTCAGATAGTTTTGTGTCCACAAGGGGGTGGCGATGAATTTCCCATTTGGGTCCAGCCGTGATTCCTCTATGAAGCCAGAGATTCCAGTAATTGTTGTATTCAGACAAACTGCATCCCCCCCAGCTATGTTTGTCCCTAGTTGGTGATACTGGATGACAAATAAGAAGGAAGATATCTTAGAAAGATCACCATGGCTACTTTTAAGCTCTCATCTGTCATTGTGTGGATTAAGAGTCAAATTTATGTCCTGGACTGCCATTTTGAGGTTGCCAAATGGATTGTGTCACCTCTGTTGGATTAGTGTGTGTAGTTCCGGCTCCATATGGTCATGGATTTACTGATCCTGCTGCCCAGTGCCAGATATTCAGGGGTACATGATTGCATTTCCTCATGAGTCATCAATGGATAAAGCAAGCACATGGCACACGCCTATTCTAACTTCAAATGTATTCAGGTATCAACATGCATCTCACAAATAAGAATGCGCATGCATATCCCTGTAATTTTAATAGCATGGAGAATTGACTGTTATTGACATCACCTTCCATGAAAACTCATGAATTCATGCAATATTCATGTTACTCTGTTGTTCTGGCTTTTGCATTTCTTCATGCTGATTTATTCAAACACAGTGGAGTGCATCTAAACAGTGCAGTCAGTCACAGCAACCATACATTTATATACTTGTCTACAGTCTGTACACATGTAATATTCATGTGTTGGGCCATAATGGCCTATCAGTTGCAGTTTTACATATGAGCATTATTTGCTGGTTATGTTTACTGTTATGGGCCAACTTTATTTTTATATATGCAGTTAGAAGACTTCTTAACCCTCTGGGGTTGTTCGTTTCAGAGTCGCGCTCGGGGTGTTCAGGTCCAAGTGGACCCAAAGGTTGGGATTCATATATATATATATTTTTTTTTTTACTCATTTTTTATAATATTTTTTCTTTTTTTTTTGGTGTTTTAAAAAAATTTCAAAAATAAAAAAATATATAATTTGCATTAATGCAATAATTATGACAAAATTTCCCCCCATTGAACATAATAGAAAAAATATTCAAAAAATATATATATTTTTTAAAGCTGTATTTCATTTTAGAGGCAAGCCTAGGCCTCATAAAAGCAATTTTTGAAATGAGATGGATGCCATCTGGTGGAAAAAGTGAGCATTTTAAAAATGCAAAACTTTTTTTGGTGTGTTTGTGTCTGGATGTGTCTGTTTTGAACTCTTGATGTTTTATGGATTCACCCCTTCACTGTTGTGTGCTTTTTTTCAAGATCGTGGCTGATTTGTAGATTGTACGCACAAAAAAAGTCAGTATTTTCACATTTTTACCAATTTCTCATTTTTTACAACCACTTAGACTATTCACATCCTGTCCCCAATTTTTTTGGGTGTTCATATACCAAATACCAACAAAGTCACCAAATTTCGGACCATTCCGAGGAAGCTGTGATTTAAAAAAAAAAAATATTTAAATTCTTCGGGTTCATTTGGGCCGAACAACCCCAGAAGATTAAATAAAAATCTGTTTCTGTGGTTGTGGACTCCAGGTTTTCTTTTATTAGTGTTGAATGAGCAAGAGATGTTTGTTTGTCAAGTGTAAGAGGTTGCAGTGTGCTCGTGTTTCACAGAGCTCTGTGTGTGAGAAGTTGAAATATATCGAGCGTGGAGCCAAACGAGTTTCGTATTTGCGATTTTAGCTCAAACCCAAGAGTATCAGCTCAAGATTCTGCTGCATGTGACATTTTGTAGAGCTAAAAGTAACTTTTATAATCATCAGATCTGTATTATTGTGCCAGCACCAAGTGAGAAGTGGCTTTTCTTTTTCTTGTAATATAATGAGCTCGCACAGAAACAAACACACAAAGATGCTGACAGTCACTCAACCGGTGCAGCATCATGTTAAGAAACCTGCCTCAGTCTCCTTGGTTTCCGCCTGTCAGCCTTCTTATAGCAGAGAGCCCTCAAGGGATCTACCTTATGCCTTAATGGGTTGTTATTTCCAAGCCTCCTTGTTATGATGACTGTATGTGTGTGTGTGTTTATATGTGGGTGTGGGTGTTAGAGGACGTAGAGCTCAAGGTTGGGCCACATTCAGTGTGATGTGGCGAGGGCTACCATTGATTGAGCTGTTTCTGACACCATCTTCATCCCCTCAGGACTCAGATAATGTCCACCGGAGACACAGCAATTGTCACGGGCCCCCTCGACCAGCCAGAGTGGTGTCATCCACCTCCGAGGAAGAAGAGGCTCTTACGGAAAAGTTCCTTAAAATGAACTGTAAATACATCACAGATGGCAAGGTGAGTGATTTCTGTGTACAGATTCTGTTAGTCAGGCGCACAGATTGTTAGTAGCCACTGGATTTACCCAGATTTGCCACATTTGTTTGTTAGAGATATATACACAGTATATACACAATATATGAGACAGTGAGAATTATTTATTTTCAATTTACCCAATTGAAATGAAATTTGCACGGATGCATTAAATTGATCAAAAGAGACTTTAACATTTCAATGTAAGTGCATAGTACTTAAAGCCACTTAATATTTTGATGATTTGATTGAGTGATTGAATGATCTGTAAATGACCAAACCGAATAAATGAAAAATAAATGAAATTTTTTTTTCATTTTTTTTTCTGAACATTTAATGTATTAATGTACTTATGTATTTCTGAACATTTAGTGCTGTAAGTATATAAATATATACATACATTAAAATACATTTTATTTATAAAAACAAAGTGCTCTAGCATCTGTACTTAGCATTATGTACTGCAAATTTCAAAATGTAAATTAAAAAATAAATAAATATTCCACTTTGATTATGTCTATGAAATAAATGGTACTTGTTACTTTTGGACGACAGAAATTATGATCACGAAGTCTACAATCATTTTTTACATCAACATTTAAAACATTGGTGGTTGAATTTTATGTTGATCTCTTCCTGTCTAAGTGGATGGTTTGTGGCCAGAAAAATCAATATACAACAACAATATGTACTGATCTTTACTGTGATGATCATGTCTGGACATGTAAAATAATTTTTCATTGGCATCTCTCTCCTCTGTTCTCAATCTTTTAGGGTATAGTTAGTGGTGTGCTGCTGGTAACCCCAAACAACGTCATGTTTGACCCTCATAAGTTGGACCATCTGGTGCAGGAGCGAGGATGTGAGGAGTACGGGATCATGTGCCCGCTGGAGGAGGTGCAGTCTGCAGCCATGTGCCGGGAGATCACCGACATCAGGGTCCGAGAGCTTGTGCCACCGTATGTTACACTTACTTGCACATCATTTTTGCTTCAGATATGATGATTGCTCCTATATAATCACCCTAGCAACCCCCTAGATTACTCTAGCAACTGCATAGCAACATGATAACAACCACTTTGATCACATTAGCGGGGAAATGCAAGTCATGTAGCAACGTGTCATGTTTTTTTTTTGTCAACGCAGAGATCTAGAGCTTGAGCCTTCAATACCTGAGGTAAGCCATCTCAAGAGGGCACCACGCCTCAATGCAGGCGATGCGGCTCACCGAATCCGCGAAACGGGCAATGACAGTACCAGTACGGCCCCTCGCAGCACGGAAGCTTCTCTATCTGAAGACGTTTTTACAGAGTCCGAATTGTCTCCAGTCCGTGATGATCCCCTTGCAACATCTTCCGACGAGTTGCAGCAGATAAAGTCCTCTGGTGCGTCTTCTGAATCTGTGCAAACCATCAACCCTGCCGCCACAACCACTGAAGAACCTTTAATGGCTGACAAAAAGGACGTAAAAGAAGCTGTACAGAATACAGGAACGGAGGGAAGAGGATGGCGGGATAGTGGCATTGAGCAGAGTCTGAATGCCACAGGTTTATCCAATGAGGTGCTGTCTGAGAACGTTCTGGAGAATGTAATGAGGGACCAACCTGCAGGCGAGACTAAGTCACGCACCACATCTGAGTCGCTTTGTTTGGACACTGTGGCTGCTGAGGATTTTGAAAAAGCCCATGAGTCACTGAAGACCGTGGATGCACAGACTATGCAATCGACCAGTGATATGAAGGAAGGAGAACAAAAGATGTCCAATGATTTCACACCAGCTATTGAGCTTGGAGCAGATGAGGGACAGAGTACAGAAGGTAACCTACTATTAGCACATGTCACATGTTAAAGTCAACATGATTGTATTTTTACCTAGTTCATCAGTTCAAAAATCATTCTTTATATTCTGTCATTAAAATATGGTCTATATATAGTGAAGTTTGTGTATATATATAAAGTAAATTTATTTTTATATATACACTCACCTAAAGGATTATTATGAACACCTGTTCAATTTCTCATTAATGCAATTATCTAATCAACCAATCACATGGCAGTTGCTTCAATGCATTTAAGTGTGTGGTCCTGGTCAAGACAATCTCCTGAACTCCAAACTGAATGTCACAATGGGAAAGAAAGGCGATTTAAGCAATTTTGAGCGTGGCATGTTTGTTGGTGCCAGACGGACCGGTCTGAGTATTTCACAATCTGCTCAGTTACTGGGATTTTCACGAGCAACCATTTCTAGGGTTTACAAAGAATGGCGTGAAAAGGGAAAAACATCCAGTATGCGGCAGTCCTGTGGGCGAAAATGCCTTGTTGATGCTAGAGGTCAGAGGAGAATGGGCTGACTGATTCAAGCTGATAGAAGAGCAACTTTGACTGAAATAACCACTCGTTACAACCGAGGTATGCAGTGAAGCCACAACACGCTTAACCTTGAGGCGGATGGGCTACAACAGCAGAAGACCCCTCCACTACAAATAGGAAAAAGAGGCTACAATTTGCAAGAGCTCACCAAAATTGGACAGTTTAAGACTGGAAAAATGTTGCCTGGTCTGATGAGTCTCGATTTCTGTTGAGACATTCAGATGGTAGAGTCAGAATTTGGCGTAAACAGAATGAGAACATGGATCCATCATGTCTTGTTACCACTGTGCAGGCTGGTGGTGGTGGTGTAATGGTGTGGGGGATGTTTGCTTGGCACACTTTAGGCCCCTTAGTGCCAATTGGGCATCGTTTAAATGCCACGGCCTACCTGAGCATTGTTTCTGACCATGTCCATCCCTTTATGGCCACCATGTACCCATCCTCTGATGGCTACTTCAAATTGGTTTCTTGAACATGACAATGAGTTCAGTTCTAAAATGGCCCTCACAGTCACCAGATCTCAAACCAATAAAGCATCTTTGGGATGTGGTGGAACGGGAGCTTCGTGCCCTGGATGTGCATCCTACAAATCTTCATCAACTGCAAGATACTATCCAATCAATATGGGCCAACGTTTCTAAAGAATGCTTTCAGCACCTTGTTGAATCAATGCCACGTAGAATTAAGGCAGTTCTGAAGGCGGAAGGAGGTCAAACACAGTATTAGTATGGTGTTCCTAATAATCCTTTAGGCGAGTGTATATAACCATAACGAAAAAATAATTGACATCAGAGTTTCAGTGCATCTCTAAAAGCTACAGCAAAAATAGCAAGTAGCGATAAATCTGAAAAAGTAGTGGGAAATATCAAGATGTTATTGATGGGTGCCAGTGGTGTTTCAGAAAGGACAAAAAAAGGTCCCTTCTTACTTTTCTTTGTTTTACGCTGAACTTCGAACATAAAATAATGCAAGTAAAATGGGTTGCAATGTTTCATGCTGACTTTAAGCTTATTTCTTATTGTAGCTTGCGCTCTCTTTCCCCAAGGGTATTGCTTGCATAAAAGATATCCAATCCTTGATGACAGAACATAACTTACAAATATATTGAATTGTCAGCCTTCATTTGATCCTGCCGTATCACTGCTGCAGTCTGATGAGGATGTGGCCCTAAAAAATATGCTGAAAGATACATTTTCAGTTGGGTTCAGGAAATCCACAGATTTAATTTGCTCCATTTATTTATTTCTCTCCAGCACACTAATAACATCAGCTCACTCAACACGACAGCTTATTTAGCATATGTTGCATCCAGCGTATAGATGAATAAAAATGGGATTCAAGATTCATGTTTTAGTTTTACATGCTGAGATGACTGAAAAACAGGTGCAGTTGTGCTGTTTGTTTCCTGTCCCAGTTGTGCCGTTGCCCAAAGGCAAGGAGAAGTCCAAGTCGCACAAGTTCCTGTGCCTGCGGGTTGGCAGAGCCATGCGGAAGACCTTTGTTTCCCACGCCAGTGCCTCCATGCTGCAGTACGCCCAAAGAGACAGGAAGCACGAGTACTGGTTCGCTGTTCCTTCTGAGAGGTCAGTGCTATTCCCAGTTTGGCTGCACTCCACTTTAAAATGTCACCTTCCTGTTCTGCTAAAATGGAATTGTTTACTGATGCTCCAGACTCAGGTATAGTATGTTTTTTTAAAACACTGAGAGAGTCCACTATAAAGCTACATCACTAACTAATGGCGCTTTTCCATTACCAGTACCAGCTCGACTCGACTCGCCTCAACGTTTCGCTCCTTTTTCCATTGTAGACAGTACCGCCACAAATAGTACCCGGTCGTCATAGCGACGCCTTTTGTTCCTTGTTGTCTCGCTGGATCTTCTCTTCGGCAACCAAACAAAGGAAATTCTGCACCTCCTCGTTTGACCACGGCGTATTTTTTTCCGGGTTGCCATAATAATAGTAGTAAGTTTAGTAACTATCTCTAGTCAAACTATTTAAAGGGTTAGTTCACCCTAAAATGAAAATTCTGCCAGTATTTACTCACCCTCATGTTGTTCCAACCCCGTAAGACCTTCGTTCATCTTCGGAACACAAATTAAGATATTTAAGATATTAAGATCACTCCTGTATACTATATCGTTAAAATAGTCCAAGTCTCAATCTTAAGTTTATCAAACGACGAGAAAACTTTTTGTGCGCAAAAACAACAAAAATAACGACTTCATTTCAACTATTCGTTTATTTCTCCCTCTGCCTCGAGTCAGGTTACTAGTTTAATAGCGTAAGCTTCTGTTATTGTACGTCACACGCATCACACACATGACCAGCGTCGGCTAATAGTGAGCCTACGTGTGACGTAGCTCTACGCTATCACACTACGTTAACTGACTACAGGCCCATGGAGAAGGAAGTGAATAGTTGAAATAAAGTCGTTATTTTTGTTTGTTTTTGCGCACAAAAAGTATTCTCGTCGTTTGATAAAGTTAAAATTGAGCTACTGTAGTCACTTGGACTATTTTAACGATGTCGTTGATGACTTTTCGATGCCAGCAAGTGTCATTCCCTCAAGAAGCCTATGGACTAGTATGCAGGAGCGATCTTAATATCTTAAATATCTTAATTCGTGTTCTGAAGATAAACGAAGGTGTTACGGGGTTGGAACAACATGAGGGTGAGTAAATACTGACAGAATTTTCATTTTTGGGTGAACTAACCCTTTAAAAATGGCGGGGATATTCTGGATTCTACATCTGGCGCGTGGAATGACGACGCAGTGAATGGTGACGATTCTCTCTGACCAATCAGCAGTCGGTATTGTTTTCACATCACCGGCTTTTTTTACTGGCTCAGCTCGCGTTTGAAACAATCTGTATTTTTTTTAAAGTGCTAAAAAAAAAGGTGACACTTTTCAAACATTGATAATAATAAAAATGTTTCAAAAAAGCACCAAATCAGCATATTAGAAGGATTTCTGAAGGATCATGTGACACTGAAGAATTGAGTTTTAAATTGTAATAATACGTCACAATATTTTTTTTATCAAATAAATGCAGCCCTGGTAAACATAAGAGACTTTGTTCAAAAAATTGAACTATTGACTAAATTATTGACAATCTTAACAACCCCAAACTTTTGAAGTCCACTTATATTAGTGTATTTTTCATGCACAAAAAAACAGTGATATAGTTTTCCGGTTATAATTTTTTCACCCTGTCTATGATCCTAAATGGATTTTTTTTGCTGTTTTCCTTGCAAGTCCTCCTTGAAACCTCTTTAAATAATGGCTAAACTTTATACATGTGATGTCAAAACACCCGGGCAGGGAGTGTCTCTTTTACCATGTTTACCATGACATGACATGAGGGATAGCTTGTGCTTATCATTAAGAATCTAACTACATGAATCTTCTAGTTTATCCTCTGTCAGTACTTTAGTCTTTCTGGGAATGAGATCGATCTGGTGACCCTAGCAATGACTGAGGCTAATTACCTGACCTACTAATCTGAATGTTCAAAAGCAAAGCCTTATGTAATCCATCACAAAATCCGTTTCTTCTGTATAATACAGCTATTCAGCCACAGTCAAACAGAATTAAGAGAGATTTGCATGCTGCATATGTGTGTTTGTGTCTCCAAACTGAATTATGTATGGATCAAGGTTTTTCCTGGAGCAATAAATCAATATAATTAGCTAAAACTACATCATTTCGAACAGATGAGAGTCTCTAATGTGATGCCATATTTATGATCATAAAAGAAAATCGAATATGACGTTTGAAAAATTGCTTTGTACAGCATAACGTTTGCTTTCTGTGATGTGTGAAAAAGCATAATTTCACCCTGTGTCTGTTTATCCTTCTGACATTTACGCTCATTTGACCTAAGTTTTACATGCTTGGTCTTTATGATTTAACTTTGTATTTGAGAGTTCTATAGTTCACACATGGTTTACAACCTCCATCTTGACCTATTTAACTCACACAAACCGAGTCTGCTGCGTTCGTGCCAGGGTGGCATCCATGGATAAGATGTCTCATTAAGTATCAGAGAAGGGACTGCACAAATAACTGCTCTACTGTTGTCTGACCCAGTTTGGTTGCAAGTCTTATGATCCCTTTGAGATACGACAAAGGTCTATTTTATCATTTCTGAACTGCAAAGTGAACGTTAGCCATGTTATCTGGAAAACACATACTTGCGTACTTCTCATAGGCTATAAGCTTTGCCACATGACCCTATGAGTCGCTTGGATGGATCTCATCCAAATCTCTCCATGGCCAAGTCATCGTGTGTAGGCTTATATATGTGTGTCTGAGCTTGTGCATGTCTGCATGTGTGTGTTCATGGTTGCAGTTCGATGTAAATGATCTCTTAACGTCAGTGCCATTTGCTAGCAGGGCTACAGGACAGGGTTTCATCACTGTCAACATGCCGTAATCACCTATAAGTTGCTGTTGAAATATACCATTATAAATTGAACAGAGCAATTTAGGAAAGTGGTATATCAGACTACAGACATGCATTGTGGTTGATTTAGATGTCATAGACTTGAAGTTGTTTATCCAAAACATTTATGTATGGCCCTTTACATAAGGTTCCTACACTTTCTGACTAATATAAGAAACACTAGAAAAAGTCATATCCTATCCTGTAGAGAGACTTTAGAGATTTCCATGACTTGTCTGTGCACATTTTTTTTTAAAGTGCTCCTATTGTGCTATTTTAACACTTTAATTTTCTCATAATATACATTGCACGTCACCTTATTTCTCAAAGAGTCTGAAAACGGTTGGTTCAAAATTCAGTCTCTCTAAACTCCTCCTTACACTCAGAAAAAAGGTACAAAAGCTGTCACTGGGGCTGTACCTTTTCAAAAGGTAAACTTTTGTCTGTTTTATTTGCTAATATGTACATTTCAGGTGCTAATATGTACATTTTAGGTGTTAATATGTACATTTTTGGTGTTAATATGTACATTTTAGGTGCTAATATGGAAATTTTAGGTGCTAATATGTACATTTCATGTGCTAATATGTACATTTTAGGTGCTAATATGTACATTTTTAGGTGTTAATATGTACATTTTAGGTACTAATATACATTTTAGGTTCTAATATGTACATTTTAGGTGCTAATATGTACATTTTAGGTACTAATATGTACATTATAGCTGTTAATATGTACATTTTAGGTGCTAATATGTACCACTAAGGTACCAATATGCAGTCTTTGTGTACTTTTGAAAAGGTACAGCCCCAGTGACAGCTTTTGTACCTTTTTTTTCCTGAGAGTGTACCACTAGACTACTCTGCTCTGATTGGTCAGATGGCTCAGTCTGTTGTGATTGGTCTACCGCTCACAGCATGGGTCGGAAACAAAACGCCTATTACCATATCTGAATGTCAGCTCCAGAGGCTTGCTTATATTTTTAATTTAGTAAAAAACACATCTAACAATCATGGACACTGGCGCACCGTATTTTATTAATGGGCAACTGGAAAAGTATTAGGATGCCAACGTGAATAAAGACCTGGAATGATCTTGTGTTAAATCTTAACAAGCTGTCATACACCGAATAAACCCTATACCTATTTTGTTTCCTGTAGGTCGGACCACCTGTATGCGTTCTTTGTCCAGTGGACCCCTGATGTGTACGGTGAAGGGCTGGGCGGAGTGACCCGAGAGCCTGGGTTTGTAGTGGTTAAAAAGAACCAGGATGCTGAAAGCGGGGAGCACGACAAACCAGTGCCTGATATCACGTTCAAGGACTGGGAGGTATGAACAACAACTACTGTAAGATAACACACCTTAACCTGTAATAATAATGCATATAAATAAATAAATAATTGATTAATCATCTATTAATTGTCAATTCTACTAGTTAATGACTAAAAACCTAGAAATTATTTTATGCATTCATGCATATTTAAATATTATTATTTAAATTATTTATAACGTGATTTATTTGATTGTCATAAATATTAATACTGATGTTAATTCATGCATGTGTTTTTAATTGAAATGTGTGTATTGTGTGGCTTTAACAATTAGGCTGATGTTTTTGTTGCAGTTGTGTTGTCATAGACATGTGATCATGAATATGCTTACGTGATGTTTATGTTCTCTCCCGAACACATGAGCCTGTTATTCACAGCAGCATCGGACCGTGTGTGTATGTGTGTCTTTTTATTTATTTGTGTCCTATTCAGCCACGTCAACCATGTTTATGCACATACTAACATTAAATATGTATGCATGCTTGTTCCTGTTGCCAGTCATTGTCAATGTCTATTTAATATCTTGTTGCAGTGTCTTATTTTCATAATGACATCTTTTCCTTTCAAAGGATGTGATGAACTGGTATGTAATGTATTTTCGTTGTAATCTGTGTTTGGCTTGGCTGTTACTGTATTGAGTGTTTGTCTGCAAATGGACACGATCATTTCATCATGCCTCTTAAACCACTTATAGACTTCGGTGAGCAAGACCATCTGATTGATAAATGTGGATTATGCATTATAGTCAAGATAGTAAGTGTGAAAACTCCACAAAGAAGATAAAGACAATAGTTAATTGCCCAATAGTGATGATCCAGATAGCAAAACCGTATCTTTAACATTTACTGATTAATTTCATTTTTCTGGCTCTAATAAGGATATGTGCTAGGATATATGCATTTCGTGAAAAACAGGGCTTGATATATATATATATATATATATATCAAGCCCTGTTTTTATTTAAATTTTCTGGCTCTCAGCAAGCCATTTTTCTAGGCTATATGCAATATTATTTATAATAGCTTCCATATAGCTATTTGGCTATTAAAATATGACTCAAGCCCTGTGCGGCCTCTTATCTGGGCTGGCCAGAGGGGAGGCCACTTGAGTTTTTTCTGCTGCCCAGCCATCCTATTGGTCCCTGTGGGATATAAACAGCACAATGCCTCTAGCTCACTTCTAAATGTGTCTGTACTTCAGTGAATCCACGTGGATACTAAATATTGGATATACACCTGCATTTCTTGGGGCTTTCAGCAGAAGTGATGTTTTTCTCCAGAAAAATTAAGGAGGGATGTCATCTGACGCCCAAATACAGCTTTGGCCTGGTAAAAAAAAACGAGCCCCGTGTTTCTGTTTGTGTGTGGATGAGTGACTTGTGCTGAAGTGCACTTGACATGCATACTGTATGGTGTGGTTATGTATCAAGCAGCTGTAGCTTTCTAAGCTTGACGTCATCTAAACATGACAGTAAAGTCTGCAGTGCAGACACTTTTGTGCAGTTGTCTAGCATACTTATGCAGTTGCTTGCTTACCGTGCAGTATGTAGTATCCTCCTAACGTTGCGTTAATATTTCGTTCGTATATAATTAATCAAACCGTTTTGTCGGTAGTTTTTTCCACATGAAAAATGTATCCTTCGAGTGTCGCCTTTTAAAAGTTTTGTGTTGTTGTTACGTTTCTAACAACTAAATCGCAACGAAATGAAACTGAACGCACATATTTCCGTTGCGGTGCGTCGAGTTGCTTTGAATTCGCATGTCTATTTTCCCTTGTTGACATTTGTGTGTTGAGAACGCAACGCTCGTATGACGCGTGACCATGTGACAGACTTTTTTTTGCTTTGTGCAGCACCGCACGATTACGTTATTTTTCATTAGTGTATTTTTTTTAAAAAAAACCTCTATTTGGCTGTTTTATGGTGAAAGCTGCAAAAACATGTTAAGAGCATTAGCCTGGTAGCCTATAAAGATCTCTGGGGGGCAATTGGTTATATGAGGGTGGGCAAATTAAAGGAATGGTTCACTTAAAAACGAAATTCTGTCATCATTTACTCACCCTCAAGTTGTTTCAACCTGTGTACATTTCTTTCTTTCGCTGAACACAAAGGAAGATATTTTGAAGAATGTTGGTTACCAGACAGTTGATGGACCCCATTGACTCCCATATTAGGAAAAAAAATACTATGGAAGTAAATGGGGTCCATCAACTGTTTGTGTTCAGCAGAAGAAATTTGTGCAGGTTTGAAACAACTTGAGGGTTAGTAAATGATGACAGATTTTTTTTTTCAAAGTTAACTATTCCTTTAAATCTTTTGGAGGACCAAAGAGTTCTAGTCATGTGTGTTTTTTTTTTAAATTAATTAATTTCAGCTGTAGCCTATGTAAGTAAAGTTACATTGGGTATTAAATGCATATGCTTACATTTTATTATGTGATATCTCTGGATTGCAGATGTGAGCAAATATGCTTCATAAATGCATAATACTTTCAAAATTTTAAATATATCAAAGAAAAAATGTATGCAGACAACTGACCCATAGCCACACCTCTAGTTCATAGCCATGTCATAGAGAGCCTAAGTCCACTTCCGGCTTATGGGACCTTATTTCGGAAAAAACATGTGTGGTAGTCAATGGCGAGAGAACTTATCTTTTTATTCCGTCTGAACTGTGCCCTGAATTACACATGATGTTTGTCAATTTAAAAGATAATTCTGAAAGTCAAAAACATCGCGGTTTGTCATAAAAGAAGAGTAACATTTAGTTTTATGTGAACTACATCTCCCGGGAAGCGAAACAACGAGCAAGATCCGCTGCTCGTGTGTGTGCAGTCTTGTAAAAAAACATTCAGGCATGACGGTGTAACGTTACGATTATAACGTAAGACTATAGAAACAATTACAGACGTAAGCTTCAGTAGCTAACCGGCTTCATTCATTGAGAGAAAATGTGCGCCTTTGGGGTTTGTAGTCTTTGTAATTGCGTATTTTCACAGTCTTATACCTCAATGGTTTTACATCAAACTGCGACTTTCTTTACTTTAAAATGTATCTTTTAAATTGACAAACAGCATATGTGTAATTCAGGGCATAATTCAAACGAGATTTGTTGTCTCTCGCCATTGACTACCATACAATATTTTTCCGAAATAAGGTCTGATGGTGGTGGTCGACCAGAAGGGGAGGGACTTAGGCTCTCTATAGAGTAAAATTTCAGCTTTGAAAACACTGTTTTATGTTGCTTTGCGGCATGACATACTTATGAGCAGCTGCTCTGTGGACATTGCAGATGTCTTTTCGGAGACGTGTGATCTGTCTTTGAGATGGAGCTGTTTGATCTCGTCAGGTGAATCCTGTTAGATTAAACTGATTCGCGGCACATGAGACCTGACTGCAGCTGTCTGCGTGAACACATGGGTCAAGAGGGAATTAAAGTGTTTTTCTCAGTCATTTGGTGGTTATATATTGCACTTTTTGTTTTTAGGTTGTGCAAAGAAAGTCAATGTCTTGATCTCTCTAACATGTCCCTTCCTCCATTTCCAATTGATCAGTTTAAGAAGAAGAGAAGTGTGTTACGTAACTTCTCTTCCCTCACATACTAATTGCTTGGTGTCGGGCTGTTTCTCATGCAACACCACTATTCTGTCTGTGCATTAGGTAGTTTCTGTGACTGAGTATTACCGGCGGATAGATGCTCTAAAGAGTGAGGACCTGCGCTCGCTCTGCAAACGTCTTCAGGTGCCACACGCTCAACTCCACACAAACCATCACAAAGGCCACATCATGTCTGCCGATCAAGGAACATTAACTAACTGACAATTACTGTCAGAGTATCATCAAGTATGAATCTACCAATATCAGATTTTTCACAAATTGAATAAAAGAAGACTATTCTGCTGTTTGATCTCCATAAGAATGCATTTCTGTCTGTATTACAGAATTTGTTCCCCTTGATCAGCAGATTGCACTGGTCTTTATGTGGAGTGTGGAATAATAAAACTGGCCCTGAGTTTGAGATATAGCCGTTTTTATATGAGATGACTGATAGAGTTTCTGCAGTAGGACTGAAATTGGATATCTGGATGACAGGATGGGTTTTCGATGGCTTGAAAATGAGGAAGCAATAAATAACGTTTCATAGTAATTAGTCACATGCTGTCCCCCAGAGCCCCTTAAAGAAGGGTTTGATCAAGTATCCAAACACAAATTTGGTGCATTTGACTGCAGTGCTTGTTCTGACTTACTCTTCAGACAGCATTCATCACACTATTAAAGTCAACATGAAATTACAATTAAACCGATTTTCTTTATTAAAGGAGTAGTTCACTTTTAAAAAAAAACAAAAAACTTTTGCTGATAATTTTATAATTTACTCTCCCCCATGTCATTCAAGATGTCCGTGTCTTTCTTTCTTCAGTCGAAAAGAAATGAAGGTTTTTGATGAAAACATTCCAGGATTTTCTCCATATAATGCACTTCAATGGGAACCAAATGTTCATGGTCCAAATGAGAGTTTCAGTGCAGCTTCAAAGGTCTTTAAATGACACCAGACGATGAATGAGGGTCTTACCTAGTGAAACGAGCGGCCATTTAAAAAGTAAATAAAAAAGTTTAAGTTTTATAAGCACAAATGCTCGCCTTGCTCTGTTCTGTGAAGAGTGTTCGTGACTCTCCTGTTCAAACTCGTTCATCAAAATGAACAAATCTTTTCATGACTCGAAGGGTCCTAGATAAGACCCTTAATCATCATCTGGTGTCGTTTAAAGCCCTTTAAAGCTGCACTGAAACTCTCATTTGGACCTTGAACCGTTTGGTTCCCAATGAAGTCCATTATATGGAGAAAATCCTGGAATGTTTTCATCAAAAACCTTAATTTCTTTTCAATTAAAGAAAGAAAGACATGGACATCTTGAATGACATGGGGGTGAGTAAATTATCAGCAAAAGTTTTTTTTTTTAGTGAACTACTCCTTTAATAAGTTGGTACTGTGTCGGATTCGTCACTGCATCTTGTTCCAATGACTTTTCTGTACTCTTTAATCAAAATGTAATAACTTACTATTATATTATAAATTAATACAATAATAATTTGCTCCACCTTTTCACCCTGATGTCACCAAGGCTGTTAATGGGTTTTAATGATCCTCCATTGAAAGTCTAATCACCCAAAACTCTGAAGCTTTAAAACGTTCATAAAGAGATCGTAAAAAAAACCCCAAATGAATCAAGCAGTTTAATCCAAGTCTTCAGAGTTTGCTTTATATGATGAACCAATTTAATTTAGGATTTTATTTGCATATAAACCTGACCATTTGTGTTCTGAAGATTGAGCAAAAGTCTAATGGGTTTGGAATGACATGAGGGTGAGTAATTGATGACAGTTTAACTACTTTTTAACCATGTAGTCACTATTGGAAGGTGAATGTTGTTGGAAATGCAGACTTTCTAATAGTTATTACATTAGCCAGAATGAAATAAGTGATCAAGCTTGTACGATTGACATAAAATGGATTGTGAGTGTCATTTCATGTTGATTTTAAAGGAAAAAAACCATTCCTGAAAGTGTGTTGAAGAGGTCTTACTAACCCTATTCCCCTTGCTAACATGAAAACAGTGCAAACATCCAAGAATGCAAGGCTTTATTGAATATATTGTTATAACTATACTAAAAAAAATATATATATCAGCTCCAAGTCTGATGTTTGTAGATGGGAAAATTGTCATGTGGTCCTTGGATATTTGCCTTGGTCTGCATTGCTGTTGGGGAACTACCCTGTTTTCCTGCTAACCTTTATCCCTGTGTTTAACTACAGTTATACTTTATATTCCTTAACCTGAGTGATAAGCCTTCCCAAAGTAAGACCCTTTGTAACAGTCTCCTGCCAGCCAAATCTCGCTACTCTCCATCCATCCATCCTCCGCTGTCTACATCAGTTAGGTTGTACTGATGTAGAAGCACACATTAGCAGATTTAAAGCCTGATTCTTTTGACTGATAAATGTGTGTCGCTGTAAGCTTCACTCCTCACATCCTGTAGTGCGACTTTCTCCTTTATTGAGCTGTACTGTTTATGATGCCCCTGTGACTTGATGCTATTTCAAAATTTTGCAGGTGTTTTCTTACTTTGAGAGTACTATTTAAATAGCATTATATATAGCTCTCTGATATTGATGCTTTTATTAACCTGCGGTGCAGATAGATAGTTGTGCTCTCTCAATGTAAGACAATATTTGTGAAATTTTGGGGAAAGGAGATGATGGGACTATGTTTATCAGTGCTTTTTTCTTTCTTTTAATCAGATCACAACCAAGGAAGAGGTGAACTCCAAACACGTGGTGAAGAGTGACCCAGAACCCGAATCTTTCAGGCCCAGTCTGAACGAGCCCAGTGACCTTCTGCAACCCGATCAAATCGAAAAGGCATGCTATAGTTTATTTTGACCTCATCATAGTCAACTCTGATGCAATATTGAGTAAGAAACCACGCCTTCATCTTTTTGGATAGTGCTCATGGGATTTCGATGACATTTTCATTGTCAACCTGTGGTATTTCAGTTGTATAATTGGCTCCCAGAGGCCCTTACTTTGAATAACCTTTACTTCCCAGGTGCCTTTTCTGCACTTTCCTGATCTTTTGGGGTCTTTTCTATACTCACTTCTGACTTTTTACCTCAATCTCCAGCTGGCCAAGCACCTCCCACCCAGGACGATCGGCTATCCCTGGTCCCTGGCGTTCAGCACGTCCAAACACGGCATGAGCATCAAGAGCCTGTATCGCACCATGCAGAGCCAGGACTCCCCGGTTCTCATGGTGATCAAGGACAGTGATGGACAGGTATGCTTGAGCTTTTGGGTTTTAGCTGATGTGATGTTGTAAATTTTATGTAGGCTATATAGTGACTCTTGTCAAATGCATTATAATATTGTTTAAATGCGTATTTGTGCTTCGTTAAAAAAAAGAAGAGTTATGTTCATTTATTAAATTAACTATTTTAGCTCAGCATACCAGGGTGATGACGTCATCGCACGCCGTGATGTGTTTCTGTTTATGTAGATTGTGAATATTGTGTAGTTATCTACGTAAATCATAGATTTCACAGCATGTAGTTCATCAAATATTCAAACTATTTGTTTTTCTTTTTTTGGCAGCTGTTTGGAGCTCTCGCTTCAGAGCCATTTAAAGTCAGTGACGGCTTCTATGGCACCGGAGAGACCTTCGTTTTCAGCTTCAGTCCAGACTTAGAGGTGGGAATACATGAATATAATGAAAGTGTAGATGTAGACCTTAGATGAAGGTTATATATAGTTTTATAAATGTATATTAGTGGCATTAATTGATTGTAATACAATGTATTTTTTTTTATATTAAAGTGTGTGTATACACTACCAGTCAAAAGTTTTAGATCAGTAAGATTTTTTATGTTTTTAAATGAAGTCTCCTCTGCTCACCAAAGCTGCTTTATTTGATGAAAAAAAATGACAAACAGTAATATTGTGAAATATTATTACAATTTAAAATGACTGTTTTCTATTTTAATATATTTTAAAATGTAAGTTGAAAGCTGAATTTTCAACATCATTACTGTTGCTGATTACACATCAGTTTTCAGTGTCACATGATCCTTCAGAAATCATTCTAAAATGCTGATTTTATGCTCAAAAAAACATAAATTATTATTTTCAATGTTGAAAACAGTCGTGCACCATTTTCCCCCCAAAATTCAATGATGAATAGAAAGTTCAAAAGAACAGCATTTATTTAAAATATAATCTTTTCTAACATTATAAATGTCTTTACTGTAACTTTTGATCAATTTAACTCATCCTTGATGAATAAAAGTATTTTCTAATTTCTTTCCCCCAAAAATAAAAAAAAAATAATTCTTACTGACCCCAAACTTTTGAATGGTAGTGATTAATGTTACAAAAGCTTCCCATCTCAGATCAATTCTGTTCTTTTGAACTTTCTATTCATCAAAGAATCCTGAAATAAAAATGTAAAAAACCTGTTTTCAACATGAATAATAATCATAAATGTTTCTTGAGCATCATATTATAATCATTTCTGTAGGATCATGTCACACTGAAGACTGGAGTAATGATGCTGTAAATTCAGCTTTGATCACAGGAATAAATTACACTTCACTATATATTCACATAGAAAACCGCTGTTTTAAATTGTAATAATATTTCACAATATTACTGTTTTTTTTTGTTTTTTGTTTTTTATTAAATAATTGCAGCCTTGGTGAGCAGAAGAGACTTCTTTTGAAAACATAAAAAATCTTACCGATCTAAAACTTTTGACCGGTAGTGTCTGTTCCCGCCTTGATTGTTAACATTGCTAAGTAACTTGAACCTTTCTAGGTTTTCAAATGGACTGGTGACAATATGTTCTTCATGAAAGGAGATATGGATTCCTTAGCTTTTGGTGGTGGATGGTATGTAAAGACAAAAAGTTGAAAAAGTCAGACACTTTATTAATCAGTGACTTCACTTAATGTCTAAAATATGTTTTTATTTTCTCCTTTCAGCGGTGAATTCGGCCTGTGGTTGGATGGCGACCTCTATCATGGCAGAACTCACTCATGTAAGACCTTTGGAAATCCAATGCTCTCGAAAACTGAGGACTTCTATGTGCAAGACATTGAAATATGGTCCTTTGAATAACACCCCACCACCACCGCCACCTCACAGACTCGGTACAAAAGTAACAAGGCCACATCTCTAGACCCCCATAACTGATTGTACACCCTCCGCTTGGCTCCTAAGAAGCCCTGATAGAGGCAGAGCAGATAAACAGTGTACATTGCACTTAATTTCTGGAAATGGTCTGCATGGGTGGGTTCTTCTTCACGAATGTTTCGTGAACACATTTTTACCCATTTGCCGCCTGAGGTCCTCTAGTCTTGAGGATAAGGACGAGCGATAATGGCTGTTCCAGAATGTTTCCAAAAGAAATGTAGCTCCAGACTTTCCCAGGAGTCATAAAACATTGGGTTTTTAAGTCCTACTACCTTCATCACCTGTAGCATTGCATCTATTTCAAGCACTTTTAATATCTAACCTCAAAACCCCTGTTTTTAAAATGTCTTGTCTGTGCGTTCACACAGGCTCTATATAACCAAACACCACTACTTAATGTAATATTCAGTACCGTGTTGCTGTAAAAATGTGGTGTAACATGCAAATTAACGTGTGGTGCCCTTTCCTGTAAGTCTTTTGATCTGTCTTGGAGTGCTGTAGTTACGCCAGGAGAAACATGTTTTAGGGGGTGGGCATCTGAAGGAATATATATATACATATATAAATACATATAGCAATTATATATTTATACCTTTATTAGTGTACTGTGTACATAACTACTTCCCACATTGCTGTTATGTGTGACAGTGATATGGTTTGCGCTACTGTCCTTGAAGTATAATCTCAGTTGTACATTTTCCTTGTAAATTTGTCCCAATAAATACATTTCTATATGCACACAACATCACTGCTAATCCAATGTGAATGTGGAGTTGTCGGCTGGGAGTTTTCATCAGGTAACCGGTCTCTTGAGACTGGCTCATCTCGTCGGTGGTAACATGGGAACCATATATAAGGTGACCGGGGCGTTCGAGGGTGATGAAATGACTGGTGCAACCAGAGCCAGCCTCCGGGGCTTATGGATGACAGCGATGATGAGACACAGAGACACGGATGAGACACAGAGACACGGAGAAAATTTATGGGGAAATGTCTCTTTTTGCAGTATTATGACTTGGAAGTTTAAGCCCAGAGATGCCAATTTGTCATTGTGGCCAGCTGAAAACTTGCCCAAACATTTGACCCGACTGTGCGCGTCTGTTGTCGGAGCAGGCGTAGCGCTGTGAAGGTCTGATGCTCTCTGCATGCCGTGAGATCGTAGAGCTGAAGGACTCGGGACGCCCCTCTGGGGCCACCTGCACATTTCTGGTCTTCCAGTATTTGATGGCCATGTGGAAACTCAAAGAAATGTCAGTAAAGGTCCCTAACAGATTATGTATCAATGTATTAATCACAATAAAGTCTATGTAATAATGGTGTTTTGTGTGTATCTGTGTGCATTAAGAAGAGAGAAATAAAAATGAAAGGTGCGGTTACTTTACCGTGGCTTGGTAAAAAATTCAATTGGAATTCACGCGTTTGAGAATTCTGCATAAACGTGAGAAATTTTCCTTCATGACATCATGACTTTTGCGTAAACATACACGCCACTTTCGACTCAAGTGGCGTGTTATCTCTACGCATTTTGAGCTATCCGCGTGTATGCGTGTATGTCTACGCCATTAACGTCCGAGTGATTCCGCGTGTATGTCCGCGTCAAATGTCCGAGCAAAACGAAGCAAAATGTAGATCTACATCTGGGGAGCGATATTTTTTTTTTTCCTAGGATGGTAGGGGAACACTCATAAATGGTATTAACCCCAGTGACGGGTGGGTTTAGGGACTGGGGTTGGGGTAGGTCATATATATACACAGTAATAACGTTAAGTCAACGGCGTTCATAAACACGCTGAAAAGCGATTATGCATATTGATAGCACGCCAAAAATGGAAATATGAATTGGCGTGTCATACACACGCTATTTCATGAGATGAAGATTTTGCATTTAAGATCCAAATGGTCTCACAAATTGCCATGTTGACCAGCAGAAAGCTTATTGGTTGTGTCCGTTGCTCGATGCATTGCTACACCTTTTTTGCCGCCGAATTTGTCAATTTTGCCAAATTGACCAATTCTTGTATTATGGTAACATTTACCATTGGTCAGTGTTATTTTGCCTTCAAAATCCAGTTTTAATAGCAATTCACATGACTGAAAATGTTTACATAAGCATGGAAAAATTCCCAATGCAGATTTTGCACCTCCATTTTAGCAGTGCTTTGTGCATATTGACAATAAAACATTTTTTTTACAGTGATTTCAATAGGAATCCATGCTATTGGGAGTTTGGCTTGAGGGTGTAAGAGTTGCCTATGCAGGTTTCGCTCATGTTCAAGTTGGTCATGTGATTTTGTCAGGTTGACCAACAGAAAACAGATGGTTTGAAAGGGACTTCTATGTTAGCTGTGCTTCATGCGTCACCATACTGGTGATTGTGAAAAATTTTCCTGTGAAATTTTGTTGAAATTTCAGCAATGTGTGTAAACTGGGTAGACAAAGGGTAAACACAGTTCCCACCACTGGAACTGAAATGGTTTCAAAGGTTTTTTTATTTAATTTTGATTGATTGGATCCATTTTCACGCTCAGTTTTCTCTGAATGTGAGCATAGTTGAGTCAAACCCATTTGTCAGCAGACAGATTGCAATCTAAACCTGATTTTGAACAAATTTTGTAGGGCATGCAGAATGATCTGTATTTATGATAGTCACTAATGCCATAATCTGCTCTTTTTTTTGAACCATCATGGAAACAAACTTTAAAAGAAACTTTATTTAACAGTTTAAGTACATGTACATTCAGTAAAAATCATTCATGTACACTCACCTAAAGGATTATTCGCTCTCAGAACTGTCTTAATTCTACGTGGCATTGATTCAACAAGGTCCTGACAGCATTCTTTAGAAATGTTGGCCCATATTGATAGGATAGCGTCTTGGAGTTGATGGAGATTTGTGGGATGCACATCCAGGGCACGAAGCTCCCGTTCCACCACATCCCAGAGTTGCTCTATTGGGTTGAGATCTGGTGACTGTGGGGGCCATTTTAATACAGTGATCTCATTGTTATGTTCAAGAAACCAATCTGAAATGATTTGAGCTTTGGTGGATTATCCTGCTGGAAGTAGCCATCAGAGGATGGGTACATGGTGACCATAAAGGGATGGACATGGTCAGAAACAATGCTCAGGTAGGCTGTGGCATTTAAACGATGCCCAATTGGCACTAAGGGGCCTAAAGTGTGCCAAGAAATGGGTTTGCACACTCAAAATTGCTTAAATCACCTTTCTTTCCCATTCTGACATTCAGTTTGGAGTTCAGGAGATTGTCTTGACCAGAACCACCCCTAAATGCATTGAAGCAACTGCCATGTGATTGGTTGATTAGATAATTGAACAGGTGTTCCTAATAATCCTTTAGGTGAGTGTATATAAAATATTTTCAGTCTAAATGCCAAAATGCATATCAATTTTAGTGAAGGGTTTTAAACTGGGACTTTATAATAACTATTATTTTGTCTGATATATGATACAAAATATCAATCACTCATTGCAAAGGCCTAAAAAATCTATATAAGAGGTATTTAAATTCAGAAAAGAGATGAGGAAATATGATGGCACACGCACGATAAAGAATTCCCATGCTCCTCAGCAGCACTCCTGCTCGGTCCTGTCTTACCTCTGCCCTGATGTTTAAATAGACCGCGTGACCAATCAGTGTCAAGGGGCGGGGGTTCAGCCTGATGATTGACACAGATGTTAGATATAGTATGCATACAATAATTATGTACATTTATGGCTATTTGTTTGATTGTAATGAAGTCTGGACCTACACAGACAGCAGTCCAACTGGCCCCGAGACACACTCCCCTCCCAGCTGAAAATAACACAAGCAGGCTCTTCGAAGATATACAGTAATATTGAATCTGCAAACGGAGACAAATTATGATAAGATATTAAATTATGATTGCAGTGATTAAAATGATTTGATGATCTATATTTTTATAATCAGCAAGTGTTTATGGTGTACAGCACAGCAATTAATTACATAGGTGGCGAGTCTTTGAAGATGAATATTTGGCTTATGGTTGAAGAGTTCCCTCTAGTGGCAACATAAAAAACATGAAAGTTTTCCATTCAAGATGTTGGAAATAGGATATTGTTTCAACTCTATAATTCAAAACCATAAAAAAAACATATGCTTACCATCTTTTGATGCAAATAACTCATGTAGTGCCTGTGCTAGAACATCCACCACAAATGAATGAGACACCTTCCGCTCCCAGTGGAATTTCTTTTTAGCCTATAATAATTTGAGAAAACACTGAGAGAATTCAGAGAGAGCAAATCTTTTTTTGAATTAACGAAATGTTTCAATATTTTTAATTCTGGTTTATCTGAATAAAACCCAAGACTTTTAACCTGCAACAAGGCCGCGTTGTCACTGAGATCCGGAACGTTCTGAAGCAGACTTCTCCAAATCATGACATCATTGAGTGCTACGCTCATCCCTCCGCCAGGATGGGATGCCTCATGTTATACGCATCTCCAAGAAGCAAGACTCCTGTCAAGAGGACAGATAGATCTATTTTCTAATTCATATAGATCTAATTCAGTTTCAACGGTACTTTATAACATTATATGTAACAAAAATCACTGCCTAATTAAAGGGATAGTTCACTTTGAAATTAATTTTTGGTATGTTTTAGCTAACCTCAAGGGCTTCAAAGATGTTGGTGTCTTTGTTTCCGAAGTAATTTCAATTTTGATATTTTTAGGTCAAACCGTTCTTGTCCGTCAGTCATATAATGGAGGTCTATGGTCACCACCTCAAAGAGCATGCACAGAGAAGTCCAAATGAAACATGATTTAATGACTTGTAAATGTAAGTACACATCGTTGGCCTAAGACACGAAATGAGCGGTTTGTGTGAGAAAACGAACAGTATTTATATCGCTTTTACCTCTAGTAACCACAGCCACGTCCAAGTGGCTCGTTTTCTCACACAAACTGCTCGTTTGGTGTTACGGCGCGTGGCATCAAACGTACAAACCCCGCCCATTTAATCCAGTCATCCAATCATTTCACTGTACGGTTAGATTAAAAAAAAAAGACTCGTGCCCTTTTGACAGCAAACTCGACTGCAATGAAATAAATAAATAAACAAACAAACAAATAAATAAATGTTAGTGTGTATAATATCATGTGAATTGCATGGTTTCTTACATAGGATTACTAAAGAAGTGTAAGCGACATAGGCAGTTCTGAACAGACAGTCATTTATTTATTTATAACTATATTATTTTGCAAAAAAAACCCCACAGTTAACACCCCCTGATTATAATGAAATATGCTGTTATAACCCTTTTACTGTCTATGGTTCTAACAGATTCCTTATGCCATGTCTGCGTGCTCTTGTTTTGTTAGTTGGACTTTTAGTTTGCCGTTGTGGTTTCCTGTTGTTCCCTCGTTGCTTCTTGATTGTTCTCTCCAAAAAATAAAGCTGGCTTGCTTGGGTTCAACCTCCGCTTTCCTTCTGTGGATTTACGTGACAACTTTACAGTATTCCCAAAGTTTAAACCACATTGTCAAATACTCAATTCAGGTGTAGTTCAGTTTAAACATTTAATCTCAACAGAAATGTATAATGGACATTCCAGACATGGGAGTAAATCATAATCCTTACGTTAAAATGTAAACAGTTGTAAAATTAATTTAATGTCAAAGATACTATAGTGCCACTGGGTCAAACTGATTTTTCCTGAAATAATCCTACAAAAATGTCCTTTTCTGTTTTTGCTCAGTCCTCAACATACACGTTTATTGTGGCTCTTGAGCAGGGCACCGGATGCTGGAATAACTTGATGAGATCAGCCTTTATATTGAGTTCACGTGCTATAGGGTCATGGAGGCCATACTGGTTAACTCTTCCTCTCTGGTTCGTTGAGCAAAATAAGGTACAGTTTTGATGCAAACTTGCAGATCTCATCAAATCATCAATCATAGCCATGGCTTTGTCTTCCCTTCTGTTTTTCTCAATGCTTCTCCATAAACAATTTTAAGGCTTCATGTAATATTTCAGATTAATTTAGCTTGCCTTTAAAGATCAAAACAGACTGAAGGACACAATGCTGTTATTCCTCAAATATTTTTATGGCTATCCACCTTCAACTTTTTATTCAGCGCTGGTTGGTTCTGCAAATGCAAAGCTAATTTTATTTATATATTTTTTTTAAATGCAAAGCTAATTTTATTTATATATTTATGCCTATTGGGACATGAGCTGGCCTTATTTTATTTGAATGTTTTACATTGCATCGCTTATAATTCACTCAGGGATTTTGATTTTAAGTGGCACTTTAAAAAAAACCTTTTAATTTTAGTGGCAATTTATTCTTTGCATTTCATACCTTTCTAATAAATCTGGCATTGTACAATACAATGTGAATGTTGTTTGCTCTGTGACACTGTTTATGTTTCTGTATTGTAAGTCGCTATTAAAGCATCTGCTAAATGCATAATGTGATTTCCATATTACACATACCAGGAAAAGCTTCTCTCTTTCTGTTATCATCATGTCAACAGTGGCATTATTAAGATATCATTATTTAGATTATTTAGATAACAACTAAAAATTGTTTATAAGTTACGACAGTAAAATATGAGGTATTTTACTCTGTATATGGTATTGACACTTTCAGTACAACTGTATGTACAAATATGAATTTGCTCTTCACACAAATAAATCAATAAATAAATATCTTCCAACTTTTTCATTTTCCAACTTTATTGGAAATGAGGTCACACAGGTACATAATTTTACTGATATAGATTCACTTCTGTTCAACCAATGTCACTTTTTTGTCTGTGTGCCGAGTACAGAAGCCTCAGCTCTCTGGTGTGTTTGAAGTGTGACCTGCAGCTTCCAATATCTGAGATACAGCCACATGAGACTTCCATTCTTCCGTTCATCTGTGTTGAGATACTCTGCACAACTGTGATCATTCTTAAAAATATCCCTGAGGCCATCCTCCATCTCCAGATGTGCAAGAATTGGCTCTTTGGCCGTACGAACCAGAAGGTCTTTCTCTATCTCCACCCTCCTCGCACGAGGCACCAAAATACTGCAAAAGGCCCTCTGTCTTTCCACCAGCCTGTATTCTACCTCCTTTAGAGCAAGTGAAGCCCTCATCTCTTGCTCTTTTTCCTTTTGCAAAGCCTCGTGGAAGAGGGCGCCACCAGGTCCTCCGTGACGCAATCTAGATTTCTCGTTTTCTAGAGCTTCACGTTCCAACCTCATGCCTCGACGTTCCTCCTCGAGCTGCTGACTCTGGGATGCCAAGGCTTGACGGTAGCCATGTGCCCGCTGCTTTTCTTTCTCAAGATCAAACTCGAGCTGAACTGTTTCTCTGCGGTTCTCAGAGAGCGCCTGTCGGTACTTCACATCCAGCTCATTCTGGATTGTCTTTACGTTTTTTTCATACTTGACCTTGGCCTCCTCGATTTCCTTTTGAGACTCCTTGGACCAGATCCATCCTAGAAAACCATCCCCAGGAGAAATAAAAAAAAAAATAAAATCTGAGTACCCTTAATTAAAACATACACACTAGAAAAGGGCAATAGTGTTGTGTAGTACTTACGAAAGGCAGCGAGCCCCAGCATGGGCACCAGGAAGGCATAGTTCCACTTACTGCTGTCACCGCCATCACCCTGCCTCTCTGGCCTTATATTCCAGTCCTGAGGGTCATTCAGATTGTTCATGTGGACTGCAGCTGAAAAATAAAATACATACTTCTAAATCAAACATATGATCAATATGATATACAAAAAGGGAAATGCTATTGTAAACACTGCAAACCAAATGCCCGTTTTTTAATTTATAATGATGCATTATTGTCCTTATGCAAACATAATGGAACTGATGTAGCATTTACATTTAATTCATAACTAGAAATTGGAGCAGCGCAAGACCATATCCTTTTTGAAATATTAGACTTCCTGTTTCCACGACATGCATAAGCGATTTGCCTATTTATATTTAACAAACAAAACGTCCCATTAATCATGCAAGCAAAATACATGCTTGCAGTACAATACTACATCAAATGTCTATGTTACCTTGCCAGTGTCCTTGCCAAAGCACCTGAAGTTGACTTGACCCCCGTTATCAAATAGATTTTCAAATAGTCGCTAACGTTACTATGACTAAGTAAAGTGAAGCTAACACCTGCGCTAATGTTCTTGGACAAAAATATCACTTATTTAAAGTGTGAAGGAAGGCTATATTATATAAATTGGCAGTTACAGTAAATAACTCCACCCAGTATAAATACATGCGTGACTTTGTTTTCTGCATGACGCTAACAACAAATCCCCCCCAGCGTGGACAATTATTGGTACGGTCCTCGCTGGCGATGTCCGATTCGTGAATCATTCGAACCGATTCCTTCTTTTGAAAAGGATCTTCAATCACTTGGTTGATCTGCTTTGCGTGTATACACAACAACCTTTACTCACTGTAATGAGTAAATTAAGTATTAATAAATTAAATTAAGTGGTAAATGTTCAAATAATTTAGTTATGAAAATTACGAAGTAATGATTATCAATTATTTGTTTGTTAATAATACTTATTATAAGTGCGTAATAATACTTTTTTTTTTTATTGAATATCGTTTGTTTTTGTAGGTATAATAACAGTTGACACCTTGCCAAAGAGACAAACCAGACCCGTTCATGAGGCAGACCGAACACATAACTTAAAGTAAGTGTATTTGATGTGAGAATTTGGCTGATATTGCGACAAGGTCGACGGCTTTTTTCTTTTTCTTTTTTTAATCAGGTGGGCTACAAACTTAAATATGTAACGTTATATTTAAAAAAACGAATCGATTACACTGCAGTAGCTACGCCGCGTCGTAGAGTCAGGGAAAAGAATCTTTGAACTGTTCGAAAGAACCGAATCTTGGAAATGAGTCGGACTTCCCTTACATCACAGCGCACACGAGCTCCATACACACATTGGCGTTTTAGACAGAATCGAGCAACATGGCTGCAGTGTGTGCTGCCTCCCGTGTCCTCGGCAAAAAGATTGTGTCATCTAAAGCTGTAAGTCCTCTCAGATCTTGGCCATTCTTTCTATTGTAATGACATTTGGTCTTTGCATGCCGAGAGTTAAATTGTTTTATACTGACATGACGCTGTAATCTATTGTAGTCTGTTATGTGTTGGTTTTGTAACCATCACTTGCTGGGTTAGGTAACACTGTTACATAGTTAGTACCAGTGTCTTTGTTACGCATTATATGATACTGTTTTATTTATGGAGCTTATCCTTTTGCCAGTTATACTTAATAGTTTTAAACCTAATGTAATGTGTAATTTTATAGAAGTGAAGTTTATATGTTTTGTAATCATGGATCTATTGAAGGTCATGCTGGCAGCGTTAGCATTAGCCGTGCGATACTGAAAGCTCATGTTATTATTATCTTGAATTCTTCTGAAGTGTTTGAATGGGTGGTTTTTATTTCATTTATAATTGCTCATGAGAATAAAAACAGACTGCTATGACAGTTGAATTAAGAATTGTGGCTGGCTAGTGTTATTACAGACATAACTGACAGCTACAGTCACCTGTTAAAAGTTTGTGGATGTGTTATGGTAATATGTGTCCTTCATAAACATACTCAAGCATAGCAAATAAGTTTATCATATAAGTCTCCAAAATAACTGCTCAACCTATATTTTGTTCAAATAAAAAACAATAATCAGACATCACTCTGTTATGTCACCAATAAGGACCAGCTTACATTTGAGTGCTGTCACTGTCTGTGTTGTTTTGTTACTAAGAATGAAACACATTTGTATTATGGTTGTATTGTGTATGTGTTATTTTTATTTATGGTTTTATTTAAAAATTGTTTGCACTTTTGGTTTGTTTGCACAATTGTTTACACTTTATTTTAAGGTGACATAGTTAAATTTTACTTACTCGGATAAGTACTGTATAAAATTAAAATGATATACTTACTATAGAGTTAGAGTTTAGGGTTAGTTACTTGCAATTATGCATAATTTACTGTTATTTCTATAGTAGCTAGGTACATTTTGAAATGTGTACGTCAAAAAGTGGAACCTAAATTTATTATACATATACAGTGTGGGAAAATAAAACAAATAAAAACAAATAATTCAAACAGACAGGAAGTAAAGATGAATATAAATAAATATATCCTCAAGAATATATGAAGGTAAAGCACTGAAATGTAAAGGCATAGATAAACATCACAGATATGATTTCTCTAACTAGTAAAATTATATTAAAAACGAATTAAACATTTTTGTTGTTCCATCCAGCTGCCAGCCGTGTGCCAGGCGAGCAACCGCAAATTGCATTTCTCCATCTATGGAAAAAAGGGGGATGCAAAAGTCTCAGATGGTGTAAGTATTCATGCCGCTTCATTGTTTGGTTTCACCAGGTTTTCACCTGGCATTGGCAATTATATGCACTACCATTGCAGGCTATTAAGGTTCTGTTGAAATCTAATTATCATGTTAAAGAAGCAAAACTAGATGTCATAGTTGAGTGGCCTTGTGTGGTCAACGTGTTTATGGTATTTGTCTCCTCAGATCTCCACTCAGTATCCAGTGGTAGACCATGAGTTTGATGCTGTCGTGGTGGGAGCCGGTGGCGCAGGGCTTCGTGCCGCTTTCGGTCTGTCGGAGGCCGGCTTCAACACAGCCTGTGTCACCAAACTCTTCCCCACTCGCTCACACACAGTGGCCGCACAGGTTTGGAGATTTCCTCTTGTGCTTCTCATTATTATTTAGTAAAAAACAAAACAAAATGTGCCTACTATACCCGATATACCCTAAATATATATACTAGTTTTTACAAATAAGGGACAATTTAGCTTTTTTTGAAAGGACAATGAATAATATCAAGACTCTAATGCATCAGAATCATGTTGTTTGCTCAGGAAGAGACTGACTGAGAATCAGTCGTTTAGAACGTCTGAGAGCTGTGCAGTTCAAGAAGTCTAAAGTCCTCAAGGCAGCTCAACCTTTGAAACGACACCTCAGATATTCTTACACCTCTTTGAAAAAACAAAAGATATTAATATTATCTTAGAATATGACTATGAATTACGCACTTAAAGGGTTAGTTCACCCAAAAATGAAAATTCTGTCAGTATTTACTCACCCTCATGTTGTTTCAACCCCGTAAGACCTTCGTTCATCTTCGGAACACAAATTAAGATATTTAAGATATTAAGATCGCTCCTGTAAACTAGTCCATAGGCTTCTTGAGGGAATGACTTGCTGGCCTCGAAAAAGTCATTAAAGGACATCGTTAAAAGAGTCCAAGTGACTACAGGGGCTCAATCTTAAGTTTATCAAACGACGAGTACACTTTTTGTGCGCAAAAACAACAAAAATAACGACTTTATTTCAACTATTCGTTTATTTCTCCCTCTGCCTCGAGTCAGGTTACTAGTTTAATAGCGTAAGCTTCTGTTATTGTACGTCACACGCATCACACACATGACCAGCGTCGGCCAATAGTGAGCCTACGTGTGACGTAGCTCTACGCAATCACACTACGTTAACTGACTACAGGCCCATGGAGAAGGAAGTGAATAGTTGAAATAAAGTCGTTATTTTTGTTTGTTTTTGCGCACAAAAAGTATTCTCGTCGTTTGATAAAGTTAAAATTGAGCTACTGTAGTCACTTGGACTATTTTAACGATGTCTTTGATGACTTTTCGATGCCAGCAAGTGTCATTCCCTCAAGAAGCCTATGGACTAGTATGCAGGAGCGATCTTAATATCTTAAATATCTTAATGAAGGTCTTATGGGGTTGGAACAACATGAGGGTGAGTAAATACTGACAAAATTTTCATTTTTGGGTGAACTAACCCTTTAAGATAAAAAAAGCTATCCAGAGTTTGTATGTGTGTGTACACATATTTGTGTGTGTGTGTACACATTTTTTATTTTTAACATTTATTTCTCCCTTTATAAAAAAGGGTGGGATTAATGCTGCATTAGGAAACATGGAGGACGACGACTGGCGTTGGCACTTTTATGACACAGTGAAAGGATCTGATTGGCTGGGAGACCAGGATGCCATTCATTACATGACTGAGCAGGCCCCTGCTGCAGTGGTGGAGGTGAGAGATGATCACATGACCTGTCACTGTCTTTATTGCTTTGAAAGTATTGAGGAATAATTGGATTAGAAGAATGATTGAATAATTGGATTAGAAGAATGATTGACCTGTTGTTTCCTTTCCTGTCTTTAACTCAAAGATTACAGTGCAACTGATATAGATTGCGATTTCCTCCAATCTCATGATGTTGCGGATGTTATGTTTTTTCAGCTGGAAAACTTCGGTATGCCATTCAGCCGTACCGAGGACGGGAAGATCTATCAGCGTGCCTTCGGAGGTCAGAGTCTGAAGTTTGGTAAAGGAGGTCAGGCTCACAGATGCTGTTGCGTGGCAGACAGGACGGGTCACTCCCTTCTTCACACACTCTATGGACGGGTGAGGGAGATTCTGATAGTCAGCTTGAACTGGAACACCTGTTGAGCCCTGTCTAATTGTGTCTGTTGGTGTCTAGTCTCTGAGGTATGATACCAGTTACTTTGTCGAGTATTTTGCCCTGGATCTGCTGATGGAGGATGGAGAGTGTAAGGGAGTCATTGCACTATGCATGGAGGACGGATCCATCCACCGTTTCAGATCCAAGAACACCGTCATTGCCACTGGGTAAGAGAAATGATCTAGTTTTCTGTCTCAAGCATTCAGTAGTGTTATTTATATACTGTTATGGTGTTAATTGATTACATAATATTAATAATAGATTTTACTTTTACATTTTTAATTCAGTTTTAACAATTTAATGTATTTTAGTGAACTTATATTCATCTAATATTTATATTATTTTTTAGTTCAACTTTATTTTAATTAATGAGAACTTTTTGATTAGTATTTTGTGTGTTAGTTTACAGCAGCAACATTAGGATTCAAGTTCAATTTCAGTTTTTTTTAAGATTGAATGGTTCACCAAATTAATAATAAAAGATTTTGATTTTAAAATATATATTTAATGACAAAACTATAATTATTATTTAAAAATAATTTATTTGTAATATTTTATTTATTGGTAAAGTATGAGGTTGTACATATTATTAACATGCAAATAAAGATATTTATCTCATTTTCTATTCAGTGGTTATGGCCGCACATACTTCAGCTGTACATCAGCCCATACGAGCACAGGAGACGGTAATGCCATGGTGACACGTGCGGGTCTGCCCTGCCAGGATCTTGAATTTGTTCAGTTCCACCCCACAGGTAAGCTTCTTTCTATTCTTTAGATTACTTTCACTGTCAAAGCATCATAAATCTTTGCCACCACTTGTGAAGTAATGGTTTACTCAAATTGCTTTAGTCACATTAGTTTTGTTTCTCTGTTATCTAGCTAGTTATATATATTACATGTGTGGTTACTATTTCTTTGCTGTGTTTACATGCATCTGTGTTGATGCCTGATGATCTGAGTTATAAATATTCATCCCCTTCCAGTTGCCTTCAGCCAACCTGTGGCAGGTTTTAAATGACCTATGATGTAATCCCCTTAGGTATCTATGGAGCCGGTTGCCTGATCACAGAGGGTTGCCGTGGAGAGGGAGGAATCTTAATCAATAGTGAAGGCGAGAGGTTCATGGAACGTTATGCGCCCAATGCCAAAGATTTGGCCTCTAGGGATGTGGTCTCACGGTCCATGACCATTGAGATCAGAGAAGGAAGGTATAAAATACTGATTTTTTTTCTATAATAATATGAATAATGAATCGCAAGTTTTCTTTTAAACTTCATTTGCACAGACAGTACGTGATTGATGGAAAAAAGTGAACTGGTTTTAACTTTCTAAAAAAAGAGTTTCCCTCATGTTTCCACCAGAGGTGTTGGGCCAGAAAAAGACCACGTTTACCTGCAGCTCCATCATCTTCCGCCCCAGCAGCTCGCCGCTCGCCTGCCAGGCATCTCCGAAACCGCCATGATCTTTGCTGGTGTGGACGTCACAAAAGAGCCCATCCCAGTGTTACCCACCGTCCACTACAACATGGGCGGCATCCCCACCAACTACAAGGGACAGGTATTCTGCCCATTTTCACCATCACTTTGATTACTGTTCATTATTACAAAAGAGAAAAGGTCATAGGAATATCATTGGAAAAAGAAGGGATATGATCAGACAAGAGCTTTAGGATCCGCGTTAATATTAGAAAAGACTTCAGCTCTGGAGAGATCTAAAGTAGCGGGAAGGCCTAAAACAGATGCCGAGGTTGCGTTGTTTCTGCTCTATATGTGACAACTGAAATTGTTTAACGCGACAAAATATTTCTATTGCCAATAAATGCTGTATGTATCACATTTCCCACAAAAATATTAAGCAAAACAATAAATGTTTTCAACATTGATAATCATAAGAATATGAAAGATCTATATGAAAGAAACATAAAAAAAAAAATTCTTTTCATGAGCACCAAATAGGCATATTAGAATGATTTCTGATGGTACATTTTGAAATAAAAAAGTACTTTTTTATAATATTACAATAGAAAATGTATGTAAATTGTAATAATGTTTCACAATATTACTCTTTTAATGTATTTTCGACCAAATAAATGCAGCCTTGATGAGCATAAGAGACTTCTTTCACAAACATGAAAAATTTAAGTGACCCCAAACCTTTGAAAGATATTTTAAGTGTACAGTAATTTTACATTTGATTAATTAAACACAAATGTTACAGTCCCTGTTTCCATTCTACACTCATGAGAACATAATGCTAATATCCTCCTCTAATTCTCGCAGGTCATCACCTATAAGGACGGAGAGGATAAGGTGGTGCCAGGCCTGTACGCCTGTGGCGAGGCCGGCTGTGCATCGGTGCATGGTGCCAACCGCCTTGGCGCCAACTCACTGCTGGATCTCGTTGTGTTTGGACGCGCTTGTGCCCTGACTATTGCGGAGACAAACACTCCAGGTAGCTTCATAGCACTCAGAAATCATGAAGGAAAACTCCAAATTGATGAGTGGCCTTTATTATACGAGATGGCGTTGTAAGACATTAAAAAGTCATTTGTTTTTACATATTTTCTAAAAACTATTAAAGGGGTGGTATAATGCCCTTTTCACAAGATGTAAAATAAGTCTTTGATGTCCCCACAGTGTGTATGTGAAGTTTTAGCTCAAAATACCCCACAGATATTTTTATATAGCATGTTAAAATTGTCACTTTCGCACCGTTTTTGTGTCTGTCCCTTTAAATGCAAATGAGCTGAGCTGCAAATGAGAATGTATGTAGTTTATGTGTAGTATCTTCTAGTCATTGATTAGCATATTGTATCATGATAACCTACAACTCGCGTTCCCTGGGCGGCGTTTATGTAGATTTTATGATTTGTGATGTCACTAACCCGGCAGGAAGCTTGTGTAGTCCCTACCAGCCGTTTGTTGTAGTCCTTAAAAAGCAATTTCTTTAAAAGCAAATATCTCCCTTTGCTTTGAACTTTGCGCATCACACACTCACTAAAGTTAGAAAAGTGAAATCACAATCAACCACCTCTTTAATACTTTTTAATAGTATTCTACAAACTATTAAAAAATGTTGTGATATTTTTATCCTGTCACATAGGAGAGAAGCTTTCCCCTCTGAAACCCAATGCAGGAGAGGCATCGGTCTCCAATCTGGACAAGGTCCGTTTTGCTAACGGCAGTACCAGGACCTCCGAAATCAGGCTCAACATGCAGAAGGCACGTCACCTCACTGGAGTTCTTTAGTTCCTAAAAGAAACGCAATAGTTATAGACTGATCAAATAGGAATTTGACTGTTTAGACTTTGAAGCCTCATCTTATGATGTCCAGTGGTCGTTATTCTATTGAAATGTAAATGTAATTTTCTGTTTTTCTTTCTCAGACCATGCAGACTCACGCTGCCGTGTTCCGCACAGGAGACGTCCTGAAGGAGGGTTGTGAGAAGATGGACTCCGTTTACAAGTCGATGGATGATATCAAGACATTTGATAGAGGTCAGAGAATACTGGCACAAGAGAAATTAAATTAATTAGAAAGTCAATACCTCCAAAAAACAGTAACGTACACTACAGCACAAAAGGTTAGCATCACTAATATCTTTAAGATAAGAAATTAATACTTGTATCCACCAAGGATGCATTAAATTGATCAAAAGTGACGGTAAAGACATTTATAATGTGACAAAAGATCATTTTAAATAAATGCTGTTCTTTTGAACTTTCTATTCATGGTAGAATCTTGAATGAATATATCATGGTTTCCACAAAACTATTTAGCAGTTTTTAAACATTGATAATAAGAAATGTTTTTTTGAGCAGCAAATTGGGATATTAGAACGATTTCTCAAGGACCATGTGACACTGATGCTGAAAGTTCAGCCATTACATTCAAATATTTAAAATGGAAAATTTTACATTTTTTAAAATGTAATATGTCTCAATTGTTTTTACATTTGTTCAGATTTATACCGTTTTGATCAGCATAAGAGAATAAAAAAATTGACAGTGTATTTGCTAATGTGAATGTCTAAATTGAAAATTCGCCTTTGGCTAAGCCACGCCCTAGAATGTAGATTGACCAATCACAGCGCAGCCAATACAAGCTCCCACAGAGGTTGAATGGGCTATATGCACGCATAAGTTCCGCATTTGACGTAAGGATGCTCGTCCATTTCCGGTTGTGTAGATTAAAGCGGAGGAAAACCGGAGAAAACGGGATTATGGCAGAGTCTTCAATATTTACTGTCCTCCCGTCTTTGAAACGAAACGTACATACGTTTAGATGTAATTTTATATATGGTTATGTTTATTTAATATAATTTTAAAAAGAAGCATAAACACAACGAGGGGTGTCTGTTTTATCTGTTTTTGTGACTAACGTTTCATTAGTATAACCATGGAGTATAAAATTCAATATAAATTCTCGGTATTGCATTGGACTCTATGATCGGCGGAAGTTATCGAGCATCCTTAATCCTTCACCGGAAATAACGCCGTGCATAGAGCCCATATAGCCTTCGAAGGCATATTGCAGCCCCTTTTGCCTACTTCTATCCGACACTTTATTTGCTGCTTTACAAAGGTTTGATAACATTTCAGCAGGAAGAGCTGTCACAGCATAAGCCATGTTGATACCAAACCAGAGCCCAGATGAAGTTTGACAGACGTAGCAACAGTAACTAAGGGGGGCGGGGCTTAGCCAAAGGTGAATTAGAAAATTAGAATGGGAGTTTAGAAACTTTTTCTGTTCATTTGATAATATTCATTACTGTACAAAAAGGTCGAAGGTTGTGTTATCTCTGCAGCATGATGGTTCTTATAGCATTGTACACTAAATTCATCTTTTACGTCTTCAGGCATTGTGTGGAACACTGATCTGGTGGAAACTCTGGAGCTGCAGAATCTGATGTTGAACGCAGTGCAGACAATCGTCTCTGCCGAGGCCCGTAAAGAGAGCAGGGGCGCTCACGCTCGCGAGGACTTCAAGGTCAGCTTTCTGAAACCAGCATGCTTGTCTAAGGACAACATTATTTTGTACCATTAACAGAGCCATAGTCAAGTTCTTTCATTTGTGTGCTCTGTACATTTTTGTCTAACTTGTACATCTTATCTATTATAGAATAGCATATAGTGCATAGTACATTGTTGTTGCTTTCAGTTAGTTGTAATCTGGTTTTGCAGCTTGGTAGGAATCATAGTGTCAAAGACACAACTGTCATGTTTGATAATGTTTGTGTTTCTAATGTTTCTGCTTCCCTGTTCTTATTATAGGACCGTGTGGATGAGTACGACTATTCCAAACCCCTGCAGGGACAAGTGAAGGTGCCTTATGAACAGCACTGGAGGAAACACACACTGTCCTACGTGGATCCCAAGACAGGAAAGGTAAATATATAATGTAGTCTTTTGCTTTGTTCACATTTAAAGTGCCTCTGTTATGCTTTTTTCAAATATTACCTTGCTTTCATGCATTTTTTTATATAGCTGTTTGTGAATGTAAAATGTTTTAAAGATCAAAGTGCATGACAAATAAACGTATTATCTCCTTAACTATCCTTAACAAATCGTCAGCAATTCCAGTCTCATTTCCTGTTACGTCCCTAGTACATAATGTAACAAATGTGCATATTGCCAGACTATGAACTGCATTGGCTGCTCATGAACAATGTCTACTTGGTCTATTTTTGTTCATGTTATCAGTTATTAGTATTTTCAGCGCCGATCCACTTTGCATGATCTTAAAAAGGATGAGGACGCCATTGTTCGTATTACTGTGTATCAAGTGCTGAGGAAGCCTCTGGAGCTGAAATTCAGAAATGGTAATGAGCGTATCGTTTCTGACATGCGCTTTAAGCGGTAGACCAATCACAACAGACTGCGCCGTCTGACCAATCAGAGCAGAGAAAGCTTGGAGGGGGTTTTGGAGAGACTGAATCCTGAAACTGTTCTCAGGCTCTTTGAGAAGTGAGGTGATGTGCAATGTATATTATGAGAAAATGAAAGTGTTTTTCGACCTTTAATGCAATGTAATCTCCAAAACAAAATTAGAAACCTTTAAAATAGCATAATAGGGGCACCTTAAATCTGTCTTGTTAGTCTGCATAAAGGAAGACAACATTCATTCGTATGAACTAACATGGACAAACGTGTGTTTCAGGTTACTCTGGAATACAGACCTGTGATTGACAACTCTCTGAACGCTGAAGAATGTGCTGCCATTCCCCCTGCCATCCGTTCCTATTAAACACATCCTGGTATACTCTTGCTGACTCCGCCTTTGCTTATTATAGTCAGCCAATAAATAAAGGAAGGAATATCTTGTGTGTGATGAGCTTCACATTATTTAAATATGATCACAATACCTGAAATATCAGAGCAAATAACAAGCTTCAGTTGTCAGACTTCCTGTTAAAAGTTTCAACTGTTATGTTAACAAGAACAGCTGTGTGATGTTGCTTTATATTGTCTGAAACGCATCCATCACATTTGTTCTACACCGTGCTGGCAAGTAAATCATTAAATATTTAATACTTAAATGTTGAATGCTTGTCACAATGCAGTCAAGAAGCACTTGCACCTTGGTGACTATAGATTTAAGTTGTTAGCTTCTTACTTTTGTGGTGATAATGCAATGTCCGGTTTGTATTTGACCTGGTGACATTCGCTTCTCAAATACTCAACTCGTCTGTATGTAAAGCTTTGTACATCTTGCATGTTTTGTTTTGTAGGTTCTGGTTAAACTCAATAAAGATGATCCCGACTATAATGATTGTGTCTATGATATTGACTGACATGTTTTGGTGTTCACTAGGGAGAGACAATTTAAAGCATTACAAGTAATGTGAGTTAGGTTTAATCAGTAATCAGATTACTTTTAGTAACTAGTGAAGTCATGCACTACTTTTACATTTACATCAAAATATCTGAGTTACTTTTTAAAGTAAGTCATGTAAAGTTACTTTACTGACAGCTCTCCTTTCCCCATGTTATCCCTAATAAGAAGTCACTATCTTGAAGAAAGTATAGAACTCCCCGTTATAAACGGAACAGGTAAAAAACTCTTGTGCTGGTATCTATTATTTTAGCGATGTCTGCCTAGTCTTATGTGTATGAATATGTTTTTATGTATTTTTTTTAATATATATTAGGTTCTGTCGAAATGCTGGATATAGAGTCCATTACAAATTTCCCTATCAGAGTCAATGAAGTATATTTTATTTTATGTTAAGAGAAATCGGGAGAAAGTGCAGAGGCGTTGTGTGAATATGGCGATTACTGTAGTTCTAGACTAAATGTGAACGTGCATTTTTTTTTTTACTTATCTCACTTACAGTATTCCTTAAAATTAATAAAAAACAGTAAAATGCATAGTCAATATTACGCAAGTAATTAAAAATGTTAAACAACACAAATATACTTTGTGTATTTAATCTCACTTTTTTAACCAATGTCTTTGCTGTTGTCATTTATTCATTTAGCTGACACTTTTATCCAAAGCGACTTAGCAACTAACTAGGGGTTAAGTGTCTTGCTCAGGGACACATTGGTGTCTCACAGTGGATTTGGGGGGGGAAAAAGATACTTAAGCGTTTAAAAAGTAATTACATTGCAATTAAATCTAAAGGCAGGTATGCTTGACTGTAGTAGAGTACTCTTGCCTGTGGATGGCAGCTGAGTTCACGGAAAATCTTACGCACTAATTATCTTGGCAAACTCCAGTGACAAGATTGTGTTTAATTATTTATACACCACTTTGGAAAAGATAATATGTGGAGATAAATGAAGACTTAACATGGTGAATAAGTGTGAGGTACAATAGACATGCTATAATGTGTGAACACATTATCATTCTCTCAAATAAAATACTTTGTAGACCAAGTAGTTTAGATTTACAGAGTGGAGTCTGTAAGATTTATTCGTGTTTTTAAAAGTCTTTTAAAAGTGAATTTTTTTGATAAAAATACAGTAAATTCAGTCCTTCAGAATATGTTCAGTTTTACCACCAAATCGTTTGTGTATTTTTATTTTTTTTTTCAGGATTCTTTGGTGTAAAGTTCAAAAGAACAACATTTATCTGAAATCAAAAGTATTTTGTAATATTAGGATCTTTGCTGAATACAAGTATTAATTTATCTAAAATAAATAAATAAAAAAAACAAAAAAGAAACCCTACCAAGCCATTTTGTACACAAGTTATTACAGTAAAACGTTTAGCTTTTTATAATACATAAAATCTACAAATATACATATATTGATATTCATTACAAAACACCACCTTATTGTTGATGTGCCTGTTTGCTTACAAACAAAAAAAAATACATATTAAATGATAACATCGGAAAAAAAATTATTTACAAAATGACAAATAATTTAATAATTGACAAATAAATTATGTAATGCGACACACATTTGAAGGATCACCCAGACGCAGTTGTATAACGTGGCATACTTTGAATGAAGAAATAAACTATTTTTGGAATTAGACATTTTGGCTCATTCGATACTTTGCACGAGCCAAAATGGCGCCAGTTTCCATGCTCGGACGTAAACAGCTTCAGTTTCCTCCTCAGAAAGGAAGATCTGGGCGACTGCGAGGATCACACCGAAGAGATGGGAACGGAGAGTCGCGGCCCTAATTAAGCCATTTTAAATATACATCTTCATTATATTCACGTAACTCGGGTAAATGCTGCTGTTGTTTACATTTAATGACAGGTATATGTAGTTATAAGCCTGTTATAATAACACTTTGCCTGGTTTTCCGCTGTTTGTTTGTGGGCAGTAATTTGTGCCTGCAGAGTTATTGGCGTGCTAGCTAACATGCTAACGTTAGTTGATTCGATTAGCCGAATGCAAGTATAAATACGCGTTATTACACATAACACTTGTAAATTAAAAAATCTTCCGTACACTTAGACATCATGAATGAATTTAGGGATACATTTAGGACAATTTTCTAAAGCATAATATGGCTTGTTTTGCTGCTAAATGTAAGCTCTCCAGTAGGCTAATCAGCTAGCCGAGACTGTAAATTACGATTTGCATGCTTACACGTGATTAATCCTTTCATCACACTAATACCGTGTAGAATATTGAATCGTTCCTAAAATATTCATATGCGTTTAAAAGCCACGTGACTACTCTTACCAATTAAAGTTTTCTGTCATGTTTACACAGAAATGCAATATAACTCGTTTTGAGGTATTGTGACGATTTATATCTGTCGTGTTTGTCGTTTACATTATCTTAAATGTCATTCACGCAGCGTTTTGTTAACTGTAGGGATAACTTCAGTTGGTAAAAGACCCAGGGGCCCGGGCCTCAGTCCGCGGTCTTGAGTTGAACAGCCATTCGACATCAGAGCGAGTGTGTCGGTGTCAACAGCAGAGCCCGGCTGCACATCATGGGCGACAGCAGAGGTGAGAATGTTTGGATTATATTTCCACATGTGGCTCCACGTTTGTGCAGTAAAATTTACACTTGGAGCTGTACAGTTAGATTTGAATTGCACTGCGCATCTCAAATGATAGGAATGACACAGTGTTTTGTATATAATTAGTGAATTGAGATGTAAAGGTTAATTACATTGTTTTCCCAGTGTTTCATGATTGTTTTGTTGTTATAATTTTAGATAGCTTTGTCTCATTAGTAGTTCATGGTAACACTTAATTTAGTGTATTTTACACGTTATTTATACTTACAATATTAATAGGATAAGATGTGTGTAATTATAACTAAACCAAATCCTAACTAAATGTATAATTACACTAAGACACCTTAAAGTAAAGTGTAACCTGGATTATTTTGCATGGATCCGATATAAATAAGCAGTTTGTGTTTGCTTAGTTTGATCAAGGCTACAATGATTTATTTTTAGCTTGTTGAAGCTAATTGCATTTCATGAGACAAAGCTTTACAACGAGCTAATTTAGTAATCTAGCAGATGTTTAAATAATGAAAGCTAAAATTCCTATGATTGGCCACAGTGAACGTAATTGTATATTTTTTGTTCTTTGTTCTGTTCCACAAACCTGCCTCTCCTCGCAGATTCTCGAAGTCCAGACAGCTCATCCGTTTCCTCACCACCATCAGGTCAGCGTTCGCCCCCGTTGGCCCCTTCAGCCGCCTCCATGACTTCTCTGCCACCCATCACTTCAGCCGTGAACAGTCCCATCAGCAGCATGGGCTCACCTTTCTCAGTCATCAGCTCCTCTCTAGGTTCTCCTTGCCTTCCTGGAACTCCCTCTGTAGGCTACGGCCCCATCAGCAGCCCACAGGTGAGCACTTTCGTGTTATCAATCCCAACTGCCCACCAGACTCTCATTATTTCAGTTACAGGCCTGTGTGTTTGTATTGAGATAAACAGCCCAGCTTGTGTGGTTTCTGAGGGTACGTTTACATGACAACGATGTACTAAAAATAGTTTTTTGAATAGTTTCACGCACAGACATTGTCAAAACCATCCCCATTGACACAGGCCAGTAGTTGGCAATGTCACTTTGTAAAAAAATAAATAAATAAATAGACTAAACACGTAATATGCATGTGCTTGACTTCACAGTTTTCACAAATTCACGTTTTTGTAGTTTACAGAGATGATGATAATATCGTTTTCAAAACTTTCACTTTGAAACCAGTTTTCAGGCCCCCAAAACGTTTTTCGTGTAAATGAACGGCCAGACAGATAATAAAAGTTGTACGTTTTTAGTAGGGCTGTGCAAAAATTAATTGCGATTAATCGCATCCAAAATAAAAGTCTGTGTTTACATAATATATTTGTGTGTGCTGTATATAATTATTTTGTATATATAAATACCTATGCATGCATGTATATATTTAAGAATTATTTGCACTTAAATTCTGTATATATAAATAAATACATAAGCTATATTATATACATATTTTATATATGAATAACACATTTTCTTAAATATAAACATGCATGTGTGTGTATTTATATATATACAAAATAATTATATACAGCACACACAAATATATTATGTAAACACAGACTTTTATTTTGGATCCGATTAATCGCAATTAATTTTTGCACAGCCCTAGTTTTTAGTTGAAAACGGTGTTGTGTAAATGAACGACCAAACAAATAAAAGTTTTACGTTTTTAGTTGAAAACAATATTGTGTAAAAGCCCCCAAAGTCTGGCAGAATTCAGATTTTTTTTGTATTAAGTAGGCCTACATGAAAATTAAACAAAGCAAAATCAGGACAAAAACTGCACAACAGTTACATTTTCATTAATATCATAGTTATCATCTACATCTTAATGTACACCACAGTTCAAAAGTCTGGGGTCAGGTTTTTTTTTTTTCAAGTTTTTTTTTTATCAAAAGAGACATTAAATACATTTATAATGTTAATACGATTTCTTTTTCAAATAAATGATTTTTTTAATCTTTATATTCATCAAGGAATCTTGAAAAAAGTATTAGTTTCCTTAAAAATATTAAGTTGCACAATCATCATTAAGCAGCAAATCGGCAAATCAGAATGATTTCTAAAGGATCATGTGATGCTGAAAATTCAGCTTTGCATCACAGGAATAAATTACATTTTAAAAAATAGAAAAATAGAAAACTGTTATTTTAAATTGTAATAATATTTCACTGTATTTTTGATCCAAAAAATGCAGCTTTGCTGAGACTTCTTTCAAAAACATCTTATCAACTACAAAATTTTGAACGGTGCTGTAAAATGACTAGCAATATTTAACTAGACCTGCATAATTTCAAGGTTTGGTTCAGCTTTCGAAAAAAAAACAAATCTAAATACCAGTTTATTTACAGAGGTTATTTGAGTGTTTCACTCTAAACTGTTAATCTTTAACAGACCGTCTAGTATTTTGACCTAAATTTCCAAAGTCTCATAGGTAGGTTTCGGTCGATCTAAAACCGATTTTTAGTCTAAATCTTCGTTTTACCAATACAAAATAGCATAGTGGATTTGGGAATGTAGCACCACGTCCCTCGTCCCACAAGCTTTTTTGCGCCCCTGCTCATCACTGCATTTCTATTTCACAGATGAACATGTTTCCCAGAAACATAGAGGTGAGACCTTGTACCCTCTCTCAGTTCCTGACTCTCTCATGCTTTCCTCGTTTTCTAGTCGCTTTTTCATGCAAATGTCTTCTTACCTTTACTGTTGCTCATAAATGTTGAAATGTTGCTCTGTTTGGATGTTGCTCTGATTCCTTGGATACATTCCGCCTTTAAGGGGTTTTGTTCAAATGACATCAAAATGCAATCAAAATCAAATTCTTAATGATTTGATCATCTTCCACCTGTGCTTAAGGTGATTTGTGATGGAATGGTGTTTGAATGATTTGGGGAGAAATGTCTAGTAATGATCAGTTAAAGGGTTAATTAGGCATGTTACTGACCATAAGAAATTAACATTTTTATTATTTTTTTTATCTTGCAATTTGATTTTTGTTTATCACTAATAAAATAGGAAGTGTTACATTTTTCAAGTGTTCAGAGTTTCAATGCAACTTTTGTTTGTTTTTTTTCTGCCACTTCATCTTTCTCATCGCCCTTCTCAGATCAATTCCACTGTGTCAATGTCAGGCCTGCATGCCGTCAGCAGCTCTGATGACGTGAAACCACCCTTCGGTTTGAAGCCGCTGTCCAGCCACAGCCCAGGACCCATGCTCTCACAGAAGCGTCTGTGTGCCATCTGTGGGGATCGCTCCTCTGGTAAGTCGCTGATAAACACTAATCCTAACTGGTCTGATCTTAACTGAAACTATTATTCCTTATGAAAATGTATTTTTCCTTTTAAATGTTTATAGCTTGTTTATAGCTATTGGATAGGTGAGTAAAATAGTGCATCTATGAGAATAGATATTTTTGACACGGTTTAAATCACAAAACATGTTAATGTAATGGAAAAAGGGCTATATATGTATTTGATATATAGCCCATCTGCTTCAAGGTTCGATGTGTTGTGCGTTCAAAGGTGCTGTACTGCAGACCTTGGTTGTTTGTAACAACTGGTTATTTGAGTTACTGTTGTCTTTCTCTCAGATCGAACAGTCTGGCTATTCTCGTCTGACTTCTGGCATCAACAAGGCATTTTCTTCCACAGAACTGCTGCTCAATGGATATTTTCCCTTTCCCTAAATATGGTTGTACGTGAAAATCCCAGTATATCAGAAAAAGTCAATTAAATCACTTTTCTTCCCCATTCTGATGCTCAGTTTGAGCTTCAGCAGATTGTCTTAACCATGTCTACATGACTAAATGCATTGAGTTTCTGCCATATGATTCATTGATTAGATCAGGGGTTCTCAAACATTTTGGTGCCAGGGACCCCTTTCAGGGGAAAAAAAATTCCAAGGACCCCCCTCATATTTATAACAGTTATTGAGCACAAAGTTAATGTGTGAGCGGCAAATGAAATATTTTTGCACAAAATGAATGGTCTCCACCCAGGGTACTATGCAGGAATTTCTAAATAGCCTACTGAGGTAACGAAAGTGATCTTGCTAGGAATCACTTAGGATCCCTCACTTAGGATTTTTTTGATGTTCTTGATCTACACATGTGCATTTTTAAGGTGTTTTAAGGCCCCCACAATTGGATAACTATAGATTTAGTAGAAGCATGTCAGTCAGTGGCATACTTTTTTTTTTTTTTTTTGTCAAGATGTCACGAAACACAATCACATATTGCAATCAGGAATGGCTTTAAAAGAGAAATGTTTCAATAATTAGGCCTATTCTGCACACAAATAAAGCCCATAAGCCTATAAATACAATGATAATGGCATTATGTTTAATAGGTGCGTGCGTTGTTAATTTGAGCTACTGTAATTAGCTAAAAAAAACATACAGTATATGTTAAATATATGAATCCATAATGTTAATCTCATGGGCACAGTATGTTTCTATTGACCTGCTTTTTCCTTTGTTAAAGTTGAGCTTGATTAATACTTTGCAAACTGATTGTTTCAGTCGTTTTTTAAAACTTTTATCTAAAACAGCTGTTTAGTTTATGTTAATTTAGGCCTACATCTTATCTCGCACTTTATGACCGTTGACTGAAACGTCGTGCGGGGAACTTTGAGTTCACTCCGACTCAAACATTTTGACATTGACGAGCTATCGTTGTTAGTCTGCTGAAGCACTTCAGACGAGAAGGTCAGTATCATCGCGATGTGCATCCTTGCAACCTCAGTTGTGGGTACGGCCCTGTCACTATGCCACTTTTATTTTGATAATGATCAGACTTCTAATGTCAAATCTACAGTAGCAGTGCTGACTATTGTGCGCGCACGCGAGACGCCGGCGCGCAATTACATGGGAATTTTTCCTCAGCAGTGGAAACAGGAATACTCTTATTTATGGTCATAGATAAGACAAGAGTGCATCATCCGAAACGGTAAAGTGTCCGTTTTTTTATTTGTGTATAGGCTACATTATAAATGACTACAAAATGTCATGCCTTTTAAAAATACAGAAAAGAACCGGATGCGGGTTCATGCCGTCTCTCTGTCTCCTTTCTGGCGCACGTCCCGCAAAATCAACAGCAGCGAATAGTCTACTTGACGCAAAGACATATCTATAGATATTATCTATCTATAGAAAACTTTAAGTGTCTACTTTGTATTGTTTTATGTTAAATGCTTTATATAAGTTACTTAGAAATAAACAGCATGTTTTCAGATGATAAAGAAAACATGACTCACAGCATGGAAAAAAACGTTAGGTTGTAAATTATTTCGCGGACCCCCTGGCTTTAGCTCGCGGACCACCAGGGGTCCGCGGACCCCACTTTGAGAACCACTGGATTAGATAACGTTAACTACATTTTGTGTTAAAGAGCAGTTGAACAAGTGTACCTAACAAAGTGGTTGTAATGGAGAGTGTATATTAAATAGCCATGGGGTAATTAAATATTTCACAAATAAAAGGTACTTCAACTCAATGGATTTTCCATTTGATGTGCAAAGCAAAAAAAGATTAATGAACAAAAACGGCTTTTTATTATGTAACACTGTGTGTCAACATTATGAAATGATCGAATTTGGGCTCACTGATCTGTGGATTAACCTCCTAATTAACAAACCTAACCTGGCTTCATGTCGCTTCTCTCCAGGCAAGCACTATGGCGTGTACAGCTGCGAGGGCTGCAAGGGCTTTTTCAAGCGCACCGTGAGGAAGGACTTGAGCTACACATGCAGAGACAATAAGGACTGTCTGGTGGACAAACGCCAGAGGAACCGCTGCCAGTACTGCCGCTACCAGAAGTGCCTGGCCATGGGGATGAAGAGAGAAGGTAAAAACCAGAACTCCCACCCTGTCCCACCTAACACATACACATACCACAGACCCAATATGAGTTTCACTAAAGGGATTTTCAATGTCTGATGCCAGTGTTTCCTCCCCTTATAAATGCCCTTACATTTAATAGTCATTTGTTTGTAAACTACATTGGTCACTATGTTTATATTTATGAGTTAATGCAATAGAAAGACTGATCTACTAGAATTTTGGTGAAATGTTCTTTGCTGTGGTGGAGGAAATAAACTGATGGTAATATCTAGAGAGCAGGATGGTTGATAGACAAAAAGCACTGAAATGTTGTTTACAGTTTAATGGCAATTGGGATTAACCCCCAAATTTTTTTTTTATATTTATTTTTGTTTATTTGACATTTATTTTATTTATGTTATGATTAATTAATTTGTCACTAAGGAGAGCAAAAGAAAAGCTTTTTAGAATTAAGCAAGACAGAAAGATAGTAATGACAAGAGTTGGTATAGCAGAGACATGTAGATTTCATAAGTCATATATATCACAGCACAAACCTGAGAGGAGAGGAGAGGGGGAGGTAGGGCTGTTGTCACCACTAACACCTGTCCCCCTCTCTCCCTCTTTTGTTTCCTCTCGTTCTCTCTCTTCCTCCCTCTCCTTCTGTAGTGGTCCAAGATGAACGTCAACGATGTAAGGAGAAAGCAGGGAGGGAGGGAGGGAGGGAGGGAGGGAGGGTTGGTCATGTGTGTGAATGTGGGAATGGTGAAAGAATTGCTCTGTAGGATATTAGTGACAGCCATTAAATGGGTCATGCCATCATTTTTGAGATCCACTTGAAAATATGAAAATACTCTCTTAAAGTGATTTTTTTTTTCCTCCTCAAATTGAGTCTGACTGAAATGATTAGAGAGAGATCTTGTTAAAAATAACCATCAGCCCTCAACCCAGCCAGAAACAGCACAATATTTTGCTGTTATTAATTCATTTGATGTTTATAAGTAATAGTATACATGCGGTCTAGTCTTTTTGCAGAATAACTGAGATGGTCCTCACTGCAGAACACGAAATACATACCTAAACATACCCATCTCCACCCCCTGATCCCTAACCCCACCCCAAATCATACCCATACCCACCCCCTGATCCCTAACCCCACCCCAAATCATACCCATACCCACCCCATGATCCCTAACCCCACCCCTAAACCTAACCATCTCCACCCCCTGATCCCTAACCCCACCCCTAATCCTACTCATCTCCACCCCTGATCCCTAATCCTACCCATCTCCACCCCCTGGTTCCTAGCCCCACCCCCAGTCCTACCCATTTCCAACCCCTGTCCCTAACCCCACTTCTAAACCTAACCATCTCCACCCCTGATCCCTAACCCCACCCCCAATCCTACCCATCTCCACCCCCTGATCCCTAAACCTAACCATCTCCACCCCTGATCCCTAACCCCACCCCTAATCCTACCCATCTCCACCCCTTGATCCCTAACCCACCCCTAATCCTACCCATCTCCACCCCCTAGTTCCTAGCCCCACTCCTAAACCTAACCATCTCCACCCACTGATCCCTAACCCCACTCCTAAACCTAACCATCTCCACCCACTGATCCCTAACCCCACTCCTAAACCTAACCATCTCCACCCCCTGATCCCTAAACCTACCCATCTCCACCCCCTGATCCCTAAACCTAACCATCTCCACCCCCTGATCCCTAACCCCACCCTAAACCTAACCATCTCCACCCCTGATCCCTAACCCACCCTAATCCTACCCATCTCCACCCCCTAGTTCCTAGCCCCACTCCTAAACCTAACCATCTCCACCCACTGATCCCTAACCCCACCCCTAATCATACCCATCTCCACCCCCCTGATTCCTAACCCCACCCCTAATCATACCCTTCTTCAGCCCCCTGATTCCTAACCCCACCCCTAATCATACCCTTCTTCACCCCTTAGATGTGGATCCAACTCCGCCCCCTGGATCTTGTGTACTGCAGTGAGGTGCTACTGGAATAACTGGCAAATTTTTAGGTCTGAATTGACCACATATTTTCATAGTGCATAAAACTGTTATCATTAGTTATAAGGAAACTTATTTCCACATGATATGACCCCTTTAAATGACATGATGCAGCAAAACAAATATTAGTCATGTGAGAATGATGTTTTGAATTTGTGCAATAAGGGACCTTTGTAGCTTTCATTGAAGAAGGAATGTTGCTGGAGGACTTAGCTGTGTGAATGATGTGTTGAAAACTAACCAGGAACTACTGTATCTGTATATCTCTGTGTCACTGTTTTCATCTTTACCGCTTTCCCTATTCACTACCCCTTCTCTCTTTTCATTTTCCTTTCCCCATCATGTTAATCTCTCTCACACTGTCCTCTGCTCTATCCTTCATCCCTGTTTCCTCGTCTTGTTCCTTTTCCTCATTTCCCTGTGTGCAATACAGCAGTTCAGGAGGAGCGTCAGAGGAACAAGGAGCGGGAAGGAGAGGTGGAGTCCACCAGCGCTGCGAATGAAGAGATGCCAGTGGAGAAGATTCTGGAAGCAGAAATGGCGGTGGAGCAGAAGACTGAGCTGCATGCGGATGGCAGCTCAGGTGGAAGCTCTGTAAGTAGCAGATAAGCGCGTTAAGGAGGATTTATGATCTTTAGTGCGGTGCCAGGATGATCTGTTACGCGACCTTTAAAGTAATTGTGGCAGCCCAATGACAGTATGGTGAACTGAAGTTTCATAGAGCCAGCCATTCATATTAGAGCATTGAGTTTTGAAAAGTTTTTTTACTTGCAGTATGCATGTAGATGCGATGGACTCAATGCATATTTAGGACCATCTCCAGATTTTAAAGAGAGGAGCTATTATATATATATTTTTTACATTTACAACTTTCTTTAGTGCGTAATGTTGCTGTTTGTGAAAAGTTACAAAGTTACACATAGTCACATTGTGAACGTACACATCACAATATTCCTCATTTAAATAAATCCTACTCAAGGCATAGGCAAATAAAAGGGGGGCGAGGCCTGGTTGCGGTAGTAGTGTTTTGTAACTCGTGGTTTTGGTAAGGGGTGTGACATTTCCGAAACACGCTCAAAACATTTTCATATTACAACACACTGGTCTACTTAGGCATACAATGCTTTTGGGAAACCCAGCCCAGAGTGTTACAGACAGGCGGGTAAGAGGTCAAATATAGGAAAACAAATGTGTTTTATGAACATCCTAGTATGAAAATCTTTTCTTGTAGAACCCAAAAACAAAATCAAAACTTTTTCAAATAGCATAATATAGTCTTTTTCAAATGCATACAGATAAAAAGACTAGTGTGTGATGTCTGTTTTTGTTTCATTCCCTCTGCTTACCATCCATAAGACTTTATTTTGACCTCTCCTCAGCCGAACGACCCAGTCACAAATATCTGCCAGGCTGCTGATAAACAGCTGTTCACTTTGGTGGAGTGGGCAAAGAGGATCCCTCACTTCAGTGAGCTGTCTCTGGATGACCAGGTCATCCTACTGCGTGCTGGTAAACCTGTTTTACTCTTTTTTTTACTCTAAATAACATACTTTCATATTAAACTGTATTTTAGTGATGCTTCCCTTAGCAAACACTGTTAATGATTTACTTTACTCAATATTGAACCCCACTCATCTTATGCTGCTTTTATTTGTCTGCCAGGCTGGAATGAGCTATTGATCGCATCATTCTCTCATCGCTCCATCACTGTGAAGGATGGCATTCTGCTGGCCACTGGCCTCCATGTCCACAGGAACAGTGCTCACAGTGCTGGGGTGGGAGCCATCTTTGACAGGTAATAGTCATGTCCCTTGACTGCAGAATGCCAAGATGCACATACATTTTAATAATCAGATAAGACGACGCGCATGATAGAACGCATTTACTGATTACGTCCCTTGCTGCGCAAAAAAAACTTGTGTGATTTACCAGCAGACCAATTTCATTGCACAGCATCTCAGTTGTTGGTTTGATCATTCTGAAATGCCAAACTCTTTCATCAGAATAAGTTGGTAGTGTCTCACATGATTAAAAATCTCCCAAAAATTAGCATCTGAACACATTTATTGGTTTTCGTCTGTTTGCTCTGAGACACAAGTCATTTATGATGTAGGAAAAAAGAGCCACAGTGGCTTCCTAAATTGCATCAAATTCTATTTTTATTACAGATATTTTGTGCTATTTCCCATGAATTCACGATTTTTGTTCTCTCACATGGGATGGAATGTGCAATATTTTTTGCGCTATTCCTATTTTGCGCATAAGTTTTAAATTCGCAACATTAGATGGTCATATTCACATCACACATCCATTTACCTGGAATCAGACTTTGTAAATGAGACATTGTCATTAAATTGATTTTGTTACATTTGTTAATATTATTCAATTCAATGCTTTTCTTGAATAATTTCTTGTTGCAATTATGTAATGATGTGCATGTGACTTGCTTTGCTTATGTGTGGAAAGGATTAGACAAGAACTAGTTTATTGCATCATAGTTTGTGGTAAACCTGCGCTCATAAAACTTAACAGCTTTGATTCTTGCTTTTTTATGACACATTTAAGGCTTCAAAGGTGGTTGGATTTTCCTGCGTCACGACAAAGAAAAATACCTTTTACCTTCCCGACAGCCTGCCGCCTTGACGCTGCTATATATAGTGTGCTTTTTTAGAATGACACTGAACGACAGACAGGACATGCACATACATGCAAACACCTATATGTGCACCAACGCTCTCCTCTGCTTAGTCTCAACACACTCTCATTTACATAATCAGTACAGGCACACATATGAAGTGTGTTCTGTCACGTAATCTGCTGTTTATTACAGCGATTTCTTATTTCAAGGAACAAATTTAGCACATTTCTCCCCTAGACTTCTGAAGACTCCATATTTTGTCTTTGTCTAATGCAAATCCAGGAATAATGAGCTACAGGCTGTTGTTTTAAATCAGCTCATTCTAGATGTGCTGTGGTACAGTTTGTTGTGATGCTCATATGAAATTGTCTCTTGTTGCCATTCATCTTGTCATAATGTCTCTGCTTTAGAAATGAGCCTCCCTGTCCTTGTGCTTCACTGTCCATCTCACCTGATTTTTGCAGCGCTTCATTGTCGTCCTTTTGGTGCCATTTGCTGTGTACACATGCTTCTTGCTTTGCTTTATTGGCTCATGCTCTAGATGCTATTTAACCCTCTGTGCGAACTCTAATGTGTCTTCAGAATCATTGTATGTGCATTTTAAGCAATTAAGGCATGCTAAATAAAAATAGCGCATAATGATAACATAACTAAATGAATTAACTGTTATTTTCCACAACAATAATAATATTATTATTATATTTTTCCTTCAGGGCTCAACAGTGATTTTGTATAATTTTTTTCTATTGTTCAGATATTTACAGGCCACATTAGCAAAAACCTGAAATTCTAAAATCTACAAATTTTGTATTATTTTATTATTTTAACTAATGATCACCATATTTTAAAGTCCCCTTGTAGTCAGTAATTGTATCCCTTAAAACTAATTTGTGCTGACCAAAATGACATATTTAAATGTTTTTTTTTCCCTGTGGAAAAAAAATCTTCATGCCTTAAAAATAGCTTGAATGTAACTCTACACCCTTGCTTCATTCTACACCCCGCCTCTACTCACTCACACCAGCTCCAACACCCTCTCGGCCAACGTACTGAGGAAAACACTGCACAATGTTATCGTTCTTTACAACGTCGGACAGATAACGGTAATTAATATCATTAGCCCTTTACTTAACTGTTATCAAACAGCTAGTAAAGTGATGCTAATGTTGCACAAACCATGTTCCTGTTTATTTGAACAACTCAGAACGTCAGTGGAGAAAGGCATATGTTCATCAATAACATTGTAATATACATCATACACCCGCTATATTGTTAAATCTACCCGATTTTTCATATCAGCAGAAAAATATACCAGGATAGCCTGACTTCTCTTGAAACTCCCCTGTTTCACAGTTAATGATATGCTAAAGCCCACCCTCACGTTGACGTGATTGGTTACAAGGTAGTTTGTGACGACAGAAACACCAGCGATTTAAAACTGCGTTTTTGAGGCTGTCTTTAGATCACTGCAGTTTAAAAGAGAAAATAATCTGAATAAATTTGCACATGGTTTGTCTTAAAGCTTATTAAAAACACCACATAAACATATAAACAACCTTAAAACATTTATTTTTACCACTTTAAGAGAGCCATGGTAAGGTTTGCATCAACAGATTTTGCAAAAAATCAATGCTCAAATCATCAAAGTTTGCATGACTTGAAATTACATGTACATGGTGAAATCGTTAAAGTGTCCATCCTTATTGTTGAGCCCTGTTCTTATCCTTGTTTTAATTTTTTTGGATCATGTTATGTTGTATTTGTTCTGCGCCGGGAATTGTCATTTCTAGCTTCATTGCTGCCATCCAATGATCCATCTGCCTTCCTTTCAACAAGAGCCTGTAGCTTGTTACTCTTTGAACTGGGCCTACCGCCAACATATGTGGAGTCTTAACGTCTCTGCCTGGGCCTTTCTGGAGCGGGGAGACATTATATAACTATGATATGTGTAATGACATTTTAATAACACATTGTGATTGAACACACAGGGAGAGTGCGCACAATGCAGAGGTTGGGGCCATATTCGACAGGTAATGACACTCCGCCACACGTCATAAACAAACAGCAGCAGTCAGAAAAGCCTGTAGCTTGAGAGTTTATTTTGGATAAAATTATGTCTGGGGCTGTTTGGGGCAGGTAAAGACCAAACTGACCTTGTGTATGTGTGTCTGCGTGATTGAATGCATTGCTTGGACTAGCAAGAGTGACTGATGTTTTATGTTGCATGCTCTGTTTTTAAAAAGTTAATTTCTGATTGTACTTTTTATGTTGATTTGTATATTTTTAAGTGGCTATGAAAACGGCTCCACCAAGCTTTTTTCTGTTGCCTGATTGGGAATTGTGGTACTTCAGAAATTAACCTAAATCTTATTTTTTTCCCACCTTTCCCTTGCTTTTCATCCCATGCTCCTTCCTGCCCCCATTTTCATGGCGTCAGGGTGTTGACGGAGCTGGTGAGCAAGATGAGAGACATGCAGATGGATAAAACAGAGTTGGGGTGCCTGCGAGCCATCATCCTCTTCAACCCAGGTCAGTCCACAAAGTCATAAACATTCAATTCATATTCGTTCATACTAAGAATATTCTGATATAATATCAAATATCGATACAGATACTTTAATTTTTGGTACTTGGCAGTGACGTATTTCCATTGCATTTGTCATTTAAAATTAAATAAAATAATTTAACTTCCCAGAAATGTTTGTTTGATGCAGACCAGGTCTCAGACCAGGTGTTATCGGTGCATCTCACAGTCAATCTCTATTCAACCAAGATCAAAACTTAGAATGAGCCAAGACTAATTGTGCAAAGTTCAGTTCATATTCAAGAATATAAGAATTATTATTATTATTATATTGCAATACATCAGTTAATTTTTTTTTTTGTGCTGATTTTTACTCCTACTGTTTCTGACCTACCTGATGACAACTTTTTATGTCTGTTGTGCAGATGCAAAGGGATTGTCAAGCCCAAGTGAAGTGGAGTTACTGAGAGAGAAAGTCTATGCATCACTGGAGGCTTATTGTAAACAGAGATATCCTGACCAGCAGGGGAGGTACAGCATCATCATTTCCACATGGGTGATCATCACTGTGGTTATACATGTTGCTAATAATGCAGTTCAGTGCAGTTTCTCAACATCTCACTTGGTTTTCAGGTTTGCCAAGCTCCTTCTCCGGCTCCCAGCGCTTCGCTCCATTGGCTTAAAATGCTTGGAGCACCTGTTCTTCTTCAAGCTGATTGGAGACACCCCGATCGACACCTTCTTAATGGAAATGCTTGAAGCGCCTCATCAGCTGACCTAACCTGGACTAGGCTCGATCCAGTTCAATCCGGTTTGCACCAGGGAATCGCAGTCCCCCCTGGACTTGGGGCTTCACTGTCTCACTTCCCATTAACACCTTCCCCCTCTCTCCCACACGTTCTCCCTGCCGCACCTTCAAACCAGTACAGCCCCGAAAAAAAAGACTCTTAGCTGTTTGAAAAAAAAAAAGACTTGTTTTCCATGTAAGGTTTTACACAGTATGAGCTGTCCAGAGAGAGCTTATTTTTCAAATTCGTTGGAGGTTCTATTAAAAGACTTCGGCTTCCAGTTTTAGAACTCTCATATTGATTCTAGAGTTCTCCGTGTGTCGCTTTGGTTTGTATGTTACTCTGAATGCACGAATTGTACTTCTTTTTCGTTTCTCATCGCAGTCATACAGCCCTTCGGCTGAATTTACAGTGCATGTGTGACCGGGGCGACAATCCGGCGAGCCGTTTGGCTGGTACGAATCAAGTCGCGGCAGACCTGCCTCTTTGTTTTTGACTGTGGAATACTGCTAACTGCTATCTTTGGGATTTTAACCTTGAAATCCTACTTTGTACTGTACTCATAAAATGAGTCTGATTTATAAACGGCATTGGAAATCCTCGGCCTGCTGAAATCCAGGCCGGGGTTTTACATTTGTGAATAAATGTATGCAGGTTTTTTGGACGTGAATTTTTTTTAATCATGTTCCAAGGAGGGCCTAAAGGCACAGATTGATTCTCGCAGGAAAATCCTGCTTTTGTTTTGGGCGGCAATAGGAGGGTCGACCTTGTTTTTTCTTGGTTTGTGTTGTTTCAAATGAGCAAATATATTGGTATAGGTTTTGGTACCTTCTAGAGGACCTTACCTTTGCCATTTTTATAATTTTCCCCATGCTCTTTTGATCTATTTCTTCACCAATTCCTCAAATAGGAACCAATTCCACACCATGACCCCGAAAGGACAGATATTTATAAAGTGTGTGTGTGTGCGGTGTAGTATGTCCAACCACTCTTGTCCTTTCCACGTGATCGGTGTAGAAGGCCTTTTTCTTTCGTGTTTGTGAAATCAGCTTGTCATCAGGCTCCTTTGGAATGAACTGGTATTAACTTTAACATAGTAAACAACAAAAGTGATTCTGGTTTGTGTAAAGGCTGGAATACTCCACAACTTTTGCAGATTTTTGTCCTGGTTTACAGTCTGGAAGAATTTACACTAGTTGCCGAAATTGAAAGCAATTTTTGGATAGTCAAAGTTGAACGATTTCACGGAAAACCGTGTAGTGTTCGATGGGCACAGACTGTGATTCCATCCAGTCGGAGAATATCAAACGTTTTCATTTGGCGTGCATGTTTCTGCATGCGTTGATGCCCTGTTTTTCTCTGTAACCATTTGCAAAGTCTGCAAGTGTATGATGCCTAGTGTTGTATGATGCCTCTTCTGATTTTAAAGCTGGTGTAAGTGTGTATTCCAGCTGTGTGTTGTTGGAGAATCACCTTCTACATTCCATCTGTACTGGTTGCCTCCCTCATAGAAACTCTGAATTATTCAACAGGGACTAGCAAGAACTTTGCGTTCAATCTGAAGTGTCAAAACCAGCATCCGCTATAATCTCTATGCATTTATGTAGTCTTGGAAGAAAGAATTCAGGCCATTAAACAAGATCTAGAAAATACACCAGTATTGATGGTGGGTACTATTTTCATATATGCCTGTTAGTTTTTATGGCTCAAACCAAGTCATTTTAGGCAGAGACTTAAGATCAGATATTGACAGTGTTTGAAGTTTTTATAGAGAAAAATATCTAGAGATTGTTAGTGGTCCCACCATTTTTGGTGCTAGTAATTAAATGCCGACACCAAAATAGAAACACAGCAGTGGTGAAAATATGCAATTTCTCCAATAAGCTTGAATTTGATATGCCAATTTCTTATTTAATGCACCATCTTCTGCATAATGATTTCAGCTGTAGTATCCAGTTTTTATATATCCATAAGGTGCTTAATTTCCAGTTGAGAGTATAGTCATGCCGAAATCAGCATCAGATAGGATCGTTCTCAGATGTTTGAAGGATCAATGGATTGTACTGTAATCCATAATATGCTAGCCATTGACATGTGACTGAATCCAGACTTCCATTTTTAGCTTTGGTTCTCTGTGACTAGCGTTGCCCCCTCGCTTAACATCCCTGTGTGTTTGTTTTGATCGGGCCAGTGGTAGAAAGCCTTTTTTATGTGATCAATAACTGACCTCTGGTCCTATAAATTTGGCTTCCCAGTAGTTCCTCAAAGAGGTTCTGTATTTTCTCGTGTGTTTTGGTCTATCCAAGTTCCATTTATCCAGGAATTAAAGCTATTTCAGTTGGTGTCTGCTCTATATCTGAACGTGGGAAGGCTCATTTGATTGTGCATTGCGTGCTTGTGTTTTCATGTGGGCGCCTGGAGCTTTGCCAGAGTTGTCAGCCTAGGGTGTAGGTGTGTGTGTGTGTGTGTGTGTGTGTGCGCAGCTTTGCAGAAAAAATCCTATGTGAAAGATGCATGCAAGAGTCATCATGTGGTAAAAAATCTTCACCGTATTTCCTTGAAATGGAGTGCAATGGTCCTGTCTCCTATTACTTGATTGCAGTTTGCCACAATCGACTACATATTAATCCAGACATGCGCTGTGAGCTTGTGTGGCCGACCCTCCCTGTCTTTTAGGGTCCACTTTTTTTTTTGGGTCCTTCTCCAAAATTGTTACTTTTTTCATAATCTTACCTTTTAACAGCTCTCAAAGTTAGCTTAGGGTTGCAAGGCATTCATAAAAACGAACAAGACTTGCACAGGATTTTGTACAATGTACAATGTCTCGTTACAATGGACAGTAACCCCTGAATTATCCGTCATGCACCTGAACTGATTCAGCACTGCCAAACAGGGGTGAGGGGAGTGGGTTTTTTTTTTTAGTTATATTTCTTTTTCGGCTATTCCTAACACCTACTGGTTGACTGTGTACTGTGATGATCACTAAACAGAGCCCCTATTGCAACTATTTATACTGAGCTGAGTCAGAGATCCAGAGGGTTCTGGTAGTGTGTGTTTTTTTCTAAGGCCTTGTTGCTGCAATTGTTGTCTTATGTGGAAAAAGCCCTCCTGATTGTGTATTTGAAGCCGAGTGGCGCTCTGAAATATGCACAGTGCAAACTTGAATTAATCTCTGCCTGAGAATGAAGTGGGTGTGCATGTTACAGTCTGAGAGCTGATTCACTTTTATCTTCGTTTTTGGCTTAGCGGTGAATGTTTGCTTCTGTTATGAGATATATGCATAAGACATGAGTGAAGTGGAAGCATTTGCGAAGGTGAATTGCACAAAACCTGTCAGGAATGTGACTGGGTCATACTACACCACAAAATCTAAAGGAAAAATAAGCCTATGGAAGTAGTACCACTTAAATCACTGTAAAAAAAGAGATATATCATTGGATGTGAAGTATTTTATGCTTACAGTTCATTTTGAAATTAATTTTTGATATGTTTTAGCTTACTTCAAGGGTATCCAAGATGTAGGTGTCTTTGTTTCCACAGTATTTTCAATTTTGATATTTTTAGCTCAAACCGTTCTTGTCTGTCAGTCATACAATGGAGGTCTATGGTCACCACCTTAAATAGCATGCACAGAGAAGTCCAAATTAAACATGATTTAATGACTCGTAAATGTAAGTACACATTGATGGCCTAAGACACGAAACAAGCAGTTTGTGTGAAAAAACGACGACGATTTCGATATATCAGCAGACAACCGAAGCGCCCGCGCCCTCAGATCACTTGGACGTGGCTGTGGTTACAAGAGGTAAAAACGATATAAACACTGTTCGTTTTCTCACACAAACCGCTCGTTTCGTGTCTTAGGCCATCAATGTGTACTTACATTTGCGAGTCATTAAATCATGTTTAATTTGGACTTCTCTGTGCATGGTCTTTGAGGTGGTGACCATAGACCTCCATTATATGACTGACAGACGAGAACGGTTTGACCTAAAAATGTCAAAATTGAAACTATTGCGGAAACAAAGACACCTACATCTTTGATGCCCTTGAGGTAAGCTAAAACATACCAAAAATTAATTTCAAAGTAAACTATCCCTTTAAATCAAAATGATTGACCAACAGTAATTAATCACTATTTAGAATAATTGGAATAAACATTTCTGGATGCATTACAGTGATTTTGAGGTGAAATGTGACCTGGACATGCTTTTTGCGAAGTTCACCCATACATGATCATGTTGAATGGATGTACAGCTGAAGGAGGGCTACATGATGATGATGATTTTGTACTTGTAAGTGGGGGGGGTGATATGGTGATTGTTTAACGGGAAAGAGATTTCATCCTTGATATGATATGACAGAGCTATCTTTATTTACTCCCATCAAAAGAAAATCAACAACAAAAATATAGCTTCTCACTATGTTTTCTGACTTCTCTTTTCTTATGCTTTACATCTTTGTGTATCCTGACGTATTAGTGCGAAACTGTTATGTTATTTGGGGTCTCCCCCCCTCTCCACACCCTTCCCTCTTCATTTTTCTTGTCTAGTTTGTAATCTGTCTCCAGCAGTTGTGTGAATGATTGACTGTACTGAGTGTGGGGAAAGAAATGTCTCTTTCTTTTTGCTTTATTGTCATTAATTCAGAATCTGTTTTTGTTGGATGTACCATGTGTAAGTAAAGGTTTTAATACAGCACAGTTGTGTGGACTTTTTATCCTATCTTAGCAATCTGCCTGCCTTTTCACAAACATTTAGAAGTATCTATCTTTCACTTGCCAGACCTGTAGAATTAATTTGTTTTAGTTTAAAATAACACAATAGGCAATCATGATTTATCTATTCTTTATTTAAACATTTGACATTAAATTTGAAGCAGTATCATAATATGTGACACATGCGACTATAATAACTCGTTCAAACACATTTAAATACTGTGTAGTTTGTGACTGTGTGATATATTACATTGAATATTTGTACTTTTAAAAATACATTTTTAAATAATTCAGGATAATTTAAATTAATTGCAAAAAGCTGAATGTTATCTTAAAATAATAACAAAAATTGTAGTTATAACATCTAAAATATAAACATTAATATATAATATACATTTTAGCTTCAAATCTTGATGTTGAAAGAAGTTAATGGACCAGTTATTTTCCCCTCTCTTTTACACCATATTGTTGAGCGTCCGGGAGTGTTGTGTGGTCCTCAGTCCGGCAGGACCCCCGGGCCCCGTGCCGCTGCTGGCGCTGCAGTGTCGCGCTCTGCCCGCTAGAGGGAGGCGTTCTGCAACGTCACTCTTGGAATGTACCAATGACATTCCGCCTCAACTCTGACTCCTCCCTCACTTCCTTCTTCCTTTTCTAAATTCTAGGCCACGCACGCAAAAAGAAAGCAAAATGGACAAAAAGCTGTAGTGTGAATATCCAGGTTTAGCTGTTTAATGAGTTCTTGTTGCATTTATATTTTTACTTGACGCTTTTATCCAGTGCGAATTACAACCGAGGAGGAATGCTACAAGAGATTAATTTGAACAGGCATTATCTTCAGTGTCTCTTCTGATGTTTTGACGCTTGAATTTTACAACTACTCACTACTCATTGGTTTAGTCAAATAATATATAATGTATGATGATATTAAAAGATATTTAATATTCAATGCGTGTTTTTGAACCCTACGCTGTATTAGAAGCTGTTTTCCTGTATGAGATGCGCCTGCAGTTCCTCCATCCGCCGTCAGGTGTCGCTCTTACAATGACTCCTCTGTACTGGACTGATGAGGGCAGCATATTTGCGCAGTTATATTTGCGCAGTAAACATTCTGCAGTTCTAGAACTGACGCCAAAACCTAATCCTTAACCATTTTATAATTTTGTTTGCAACAATAGCTATTTCTGCCACGACTACAATAAGGCATACCAAGCCTTTTTTTTTACTCATAACACCTTGATTCCAGTCATTTGATTGTTGGGGAAACGACGCCTTGTTGCTGATCTGATTTTTAAAATGACATATCTAAGCAAAAAGGGTCTAATTTATATGCATTTTTTTATTGTAATATCTTTAATGTAGGCCTATTAGTTCTTTGAGCACAGCTTAACATTAATAAAACGTGACAATGCATTTACAGCTAAACTTAAAATAGCCATGTGAAATAACACTGTCTCCTCAGTTATCGGTTAAGTTACAAGGCATGCAGCTGGACCAGCAGCGGTGTGTGTGTGTGTGTGTGTGTGTGTGTGTGTGAGGTGAATGTAGGACAGAAACCTCACTGCTCTCTTTCAATGCTCATCACTGTTCCTTAAAATTGAATTAATTTCTCAGCAAAGTAGACCTTATGTTGGCCATACATTAATATATTTTGTAAACACATTTAAAATTAAACTTTATTCTTTTTCAGGGAATATTGCAATTGTAAACACCCTACTGACTACAAGAAGTGGAAAAAATATGACATATGAGTTGAACTATAAGCATTTGGTAAATTTAGTTTGTGAGTTTATCAGCAATGTTAGAACGTTCTTCCGAGCCATGCTCAAATTGCACTTATTGGCCAGAAATTTCAAGTCATAGTTCAAGAGAAATGGCCATTTGAAATGAAACGATCGCTCATTTAATAAATAAATAACAAAGTTAAAGTTTTATAAGCTCAAATGCTCGCCTTCTGTGATGAGCGTTCGTGACTCTCCTGTTCAAACTCGTTCATCAAAATTAACAAATCTTTTTTTTGTGTCATTTTTGGTTCATTCAACGAACGAAATGAACAAATTGACTCGGGAAAAGATTTGTTCGTTTTGATGAACGAGTTTGAACAGGAGAGTCACGAATACTCATCACAGAACAGAGCAAGGCGAGCATTTGAGCTTATAGAACTTAAACTTTTTTTTTAAATGAGCGATTGTTTCGCTTTAAAAGACCCTTATTCATCGTCTGGAATCGTTTAAAGCCCTTTGAACAGTTTGTAGTTTTCACTGAAACTGTCTTTTGGACCTTGAACCATTTGGTTCCCATTGAAGTCTATTATATGGAGAAAAATCCTGGAATGTTTTCAGCAAAAACCTTAATTTCTTTTCGACAGAAGAAAGCAAGACATGGACATCTTGGATGACATGGGGGTGAGTAAATTATCAGCAACAGTTTTTTTAAAGGGAACTACTCCTTTAATAGCTGTTGATGTTCTGTAATTGTTTAGCAAAGGAAGGCATGTTTGCTGTTCACTAAAATTTGGAAAAATATCAGTGTGTGCTTCTGCTGTTTGGCAGTGTGGATGTCCAAAGCCTTTTGTACTCTTAAAAACATACTTATACTTATATGCTACTTATAGGCCATGTCTTCAGAAAGGCAATGTTTTCTTGTGGAAGAGCGCTGGAGAGCAAAAGAAAACAAGCGCATATGAGGATATAGCCTATAACCAACACTGTAATTCATCCTAAAAAAAATAATTGAAAAAATAAAAATGGGTAAAAAATACTTCAAAGTTTTAGTGCCTTGAAATAAATTTTGGTTGTTGATTAAAAACAGACCACTTTTTTGACCGATTGTGTCATTTATTTTGTAAATATCTAAAAAAAAAGTATGCCCACTTGAAAATAAAGAAAAAGCTTCCTGCTATTAAATGCGAACAAACAGAACAGAGCGCCAGATCTGGAAATGAGAGAAGATATTGTAAGACTATCTGATAAAGAGTAAAGATCAGAAACTGGAAGATGACGAGGAAAAGACAATTTATTATTGGATGTCATTCACTGTTTGTGTCACGCTTATTTTGGTCTTAGTTTTGTTTTCATGCACTTTTAGTTTGTTTTCATGTGTTCCTTTGACTCGTCAGTTTCCCGCCTTCACTCTGTGTTTGTTGGTTTGATGTTCGTGTGTTTGTGTATTATCATAATGAATTCACATTATAAAAAGTTTTGTGACATTTATAATATTTGGAATATTTGACACTGAATTCCATTACAGGAGTTGCATTTTACATAATGTGTATTATAATAGACAGATTATTTTAAATTGTAATAACATTTTACAGTATTACTGTTTTGACTGTATTTGAAGAGTTCAGATGCAAAAGCCTCTAAATGCCATTTGAAATTTTCTTCTTTAATGATGATTTTGATCAAACTTGTATATTTAAGTTCAGTAATTTCACTTAAATGGCAATGATAATTACCTATTAATTGTTATTTAAGTGAAATTACTGAAGTTAAATATACAAGTTTGATAAAAATCATCATTAAAGATGAAAATTTCAAATGGCATTTAGAGGCTTTTGCATCTGAACTCTTCATTTTTTTTAAATATATTTTAAAAAAATCTAGTGAACATATTTATGGAAGCTTGTTTCTGCAAAGGAATACAAATGATAATTGCAACTTTTTAACAATTTGACTTTTTTCGTGCAATTCTGA